GTTTGGCTTCACTTTACTAAATGCGACGGGTGATTGGGTGAAGATGAAACCAGCGACAACGATCTAAGTGTGAGGCGTCATCGTTTTAATCTGCTCCAGCAGCTAAATAAACTGTTTAAGATAACGTTAGCTTGATATGTTAGCTTCCATTGCCGCCATTGTTATCAGCTAATGGTGCGTTCGTGTTCTCCTTGGAAATTCTAGCTTCCCAGTAGGAAAAGTCAAATTAAAAAGGACGGCAAAAGGAATGAAGATACACAGTAAATCTAGTTCACAGTAAAGATGTTTGCTTCAGTTTAATTATCAGCTTATAAAACTACAAGGATGATGTTAAAATACAAACAGTTGAATGTTATTTATCGTGATATTTATCAAATATGGTTATATATTGAGAAAAATATATATTTAATTATAAAAGAGAATTAAAATATTAAACACTCAAAAGTATCTAAAAGTGGTACCGTTAAGTACCGGTATCGATTCCTAGGTACCGGGAATTAGTACCGAATCGATTCAAATGTCAAAGGTACCCATCCCTAGGTAGGGGGTGCCTTGCTCTTTAATAGTTTATGAGAATCAAAATGAGTTCCACTAAAAAAATAAAAAAAAGTTGCAGCTGCTCATGTGATTCTGTTTCTGAAAGAGCAAATTGGCCCAGTTTAGAAAATAATTAGGGAAAAGAAACATTTCGCTGCAATTTTACAAAGAAATCCAAATCAAAGATAAAGCAACAGAGACGGAGCAGAAGATGCTCCATTAGAGGCTCTGGTCATTTGTGGAGGTGGAAGTCTACCAGCTGATCCGACGCTTCCAGAGGTCAACGCGAGAAGCGAGCTGCCGCATGAGGAACAGAGGAGCGGCACAAAGAGACAGAAAGCAGAAGCTGCAGGCTGAATGTGGCGGCGTGTTTAGCAGCGCCAGAAGAAAAGATGCTACATCGACTCCAGCTGAGCTCCACAGGGTCAACAGATAAAACTACCCAGCAGGGGTCAGGGGTCAGGAGGCCACTCTCAGCCGGGCCTAATTGGTCAACCAGGGTTGAGCAGATATTCATACACATGTATGGAGCTGCTGTGATGGGCGTCCTCCATCAATAGATCTGACCCAGAAGGCTTCTGTTGTGTTCAGGAGAATCCGTCAGCGTACATCTGCAGCCATCCCACCAACGGTGACAGCTAGGTACCTTTTGATCCCGGCTCTTTCTATTTCATGGTCATCAGTCACTTCAGGGTTCTGGGGTCGGTTTTTTTGTTTTATCTGCCTAAAATCATTCAAATTAAAATAAATGTGCAAGTTTTAGATGAGTTTGTGTAAAAATTATGTTTAAAAATGCAAAAAAGACACATTATTGTAGATGAAATTGAAGAAACCAGAGCAAAAACATTAAAACCAGCAAATTGTGCAAGAAAGTTGAAGTTAATGAGAATATTTAAGCAAAAAGCTGCAAGAAAACATGCATACTTTTCTAGTAGATTTAGCTAATTCAAACTAATGAAAACATGAGACAGATAATAAAATTGCATATCAATTCAATTCAATTCAAATTCAAAGATACTTTTTTAATCCCAGAGGGATTTATGTTTTAAATTTTACATAAATAATCTGGGAAATTTTTTTGAAAGTCAATAAATAAATCATAATGTCAGTTTTTGATTATCTGGCACCAAAACCTTCATACAAACTGACTAAATCTGCTAAAAACTTGTGATAACTGAAGTTCTGAGCAGCTTTGGAGAGTCCGACAGCTCTTAAAAAGGTTGGTTTTGTGTGCCGAGACAAAAGTTTGAGTCTTTTCCCGTCTGCGTTTTTAAAATGAGCCTTATTAGCATGAGGCTGAAGGAAACTGTAAAGAGTTCCTGGTTCAGAGGAATCCTGATGGATGGATGTGGTCATGCTGATGCCTTCGGCGTTCCGATGCAGGACAGGTTAATGATTTATGAGGAATAGTAGCATACCCGGGTTAATGTTCACCTTCTGAGCTGGACCTCCTCTTTGGGGGGCCTGCCCACATCCACTTCAGACAACCAGGGCTGACTGACTGACTGGACCGGCCTCCAGCTAAAGCCGGAGCTCCCGGTAGGGAGGAAGACCCCGCTCCGAGCCGGGGGAGGCGGGAGGCTCTTTAGCGACTCTTTAACAGGTCTGAAAAGAAGACTTGGACTCATAATGATGTGCTTTATTTATGAGGAATTCAAATCAAAACAACAACAAATGACCTCTGAGGTAAACAGACATAGATGGAAGCACCATGAGAACACCCCTGGACCACAGGGCAGGATGAACGTCACGTTCTCCAAGGTTCTGGGTGTGTCCTCCTCAGAATCAGACAATGATCTCCTTTGTTTTTTTCCACTTTTCCTCTTTCTTATCACCTGATATGACTCACCTGTGTCTCATCCCTGCAGGTGATAAGACTCTATTGTCATGTCATCAACTTTATTTGTGCGGATCAATAAAAGCAGAAAGGTAACAGTATGAGGGCTCTGACCTGAAACTGAAGTCTCAGCCTTTTGTTAAACAGTTTCCTGTTATTTCTAGCCTCTGAGAAGCTTTTTGGTTTTATTTCTGCCTCTGCTGTGCACGCGGAGTCTGAATCCTTGCTGCTGAGGCAGAAGATCAGCTGAGAACCAACCAGGTGATGGATAACAGCAGGATTTGTCATCCTCCGCCTCATTAAGCTGTAAATCTTTCACAACACGAAACACGACGAGACAAACCCAGAGAGGCTTTTCCTCGCAGCTCCTGCTTTTCTTCACTGGAACAAAAATCTGGACTCAAAATAACCCAAAATCATGATAACAATTGCAAATCTTGTCCTCAGTTTAGTAGCAGATACATATTCATAATGGAACGTGGAAAAAACAAGCAGAACTTTTTGTTGTTCTCAGCAAATATTTTACAAGTTATTCTTTCAAAATGTAAAAATACTCATCGCCTTTTCCCCGCTAAACTTGGAGTGAATGTAAGAAACACACATTTGTGACAGGCTGGAATAAGAATGTTTTTGTTTATTCTGCATATAAATCTGAAATATCTACATCTAGAAAATAAAGAATAAGGTTAAAAGCTGTTGTCTATAAAATTAATGCCAACTTGCAGAGAATTGGTGTGATACATAGGCTTCAACAAGGCTAAACACTGACCCCTGCTGGTCATAATGCATACTACATGAGAAGTGCTCATTGATTTCCTCTTTTTTCTCAAACCCCGAACAGATTTTTGTATTTTTATCATTGCCTTCTGCCTTTTTTCATGTGCAGTAACAGCCTTCTACAGTACAATGAAGGTTAGTTAGTTATATTAATCAGATATTAAAAACAATTATGACCAAAATGTTTTTAGTTTTGTTTTGATATTGGTCTGTCTATGATCTTTAAACTTCACGGAAGTTTTGGTTTTTGACAAACTGACAAAAATCACTAAGTAAATAAGGTTGTGCAATAAACTATTGAAGGGGACAGATGTGCTCGGCTTCTGACCAAGTCCTCCAAACACACCCACATCACCCCACTTCTCCTCCAGCTTCACTGGCTGCCAGTCAACTTCAGGGTTCATTTCAAGATCCTGGTTCTCGTCTTTAGGGCCTAATATGGTCATGACTGCGGGCGGGCCTGTGGGCTTGCTGCTGATATCTCCCAAGACAATAAGTTACAAGATCCTGGATCTGGTCTTTGGGGCCGTACATTGACAAGCACCATCTTACATTGGTGATCTTCTTAGTCCCTACACCCCCAGCAGGTCCCTGAGGTCCAGTGACCAAAGCCTACTGGTTGAGCACCAGGCTAAAGACCAAAGGTGACAGAGCATCTGCTGCTGTGAATCAAATCAAATCAATCAAATCAAAGCTTTATTTATATTGCGCCTTCTGCAACCCTGTCGGGTAGCCCAAGGCGCAGAACACAGTACATGACAAAGTTAAATATGGTGAATAAATCGAAAATAAAAGCAGTTCAAATGACAAATTACAAAAAAGGTAAAACATTCTAGTAGAATACAAATGGGTAAAACAAGGGATAGAGTGAACCAATGAAAACAAGGAAATAAAATCAACATTAAAGATGGCCAAATTCAAACACGTTCAGGAAATGCCAAGCGGAGGAGGTGGGTTTTTAGGCGACTCTTAGGCGCTGTGGCCCCCAGTCTCTTGACCTCTCTCCCCCTGGGCCTGAGATCAGTGGACTCAGTGGTCTCCTTTAAAAAGCAGCTGAAGACTCACTTGTTCAAGCTTTGGTGTGACCTTCAACATCAACTTATCCTTATTCTACTCTTTCCAACTCCATCTTCCCGAGATCCACTGATTTCCCTCCTTCCTATTCATTTTCTCTCTCCCTTTCCTTGCATTTGAAAATCACAGTTAATTATTAATTTTATCAATTTAAACATATTTTAAGTCATTTTTTCAAATCTTTTGTAAATTTAAATTTTTGTTTTTTATGCAGCACCTCATCACTTTTATCTTGAGAGGCGCTATATAAAAGATCGTTTTCTTTTTTTTATTTGTGTGATTTTGCGTGGCTCATGACTGCAATTCAAGCCACCAATACAGACATTTAAATCACAAGAGCAAAGTTAAGTGCAATGCAAGGTATTTGTCTTTTATTAATCACAGTAGCCTACAATAACAGTACAGCATCAACTTTTGCTTAAAAGCAGAAAGCCACAAAACTAGACTCGATCCACCAAGCATTTCTAAATAAAGTGTGACTAAATTCTTGTTTTTGTTGCTGGGAGGACGCGGAAATTAATTTTTCAACAACAAGAAAACAACAGACCAAATACATCTGTGGAATTTACTGCAATCTCATGATTTACTGGTCATTTAGCAACATCATAATTTCATTTTTAAACACAATTAAATAATTAATAAATTAAAACTGTATTTTATTGTTGAGGATGAGGAAGTGTAAACAAGGTTCGGCCTTCAAAAGAAAAAGGCGCACCTTGTCTCCTCAGGCGCAGCCAGCTGTGCCTGTCAGACTCAGCTCAGGGCAAGCGTCTCTTTCTCTACGTCAGAGCTGACATCATCTTCCAGCTAGTGACTGCTGTTATCAAGATGGCGCTGCGGCCAGGGTCTGGGGGAGGCAGCAGGTATTTTAGCCTTTTTTTGAGAATTTGTCGGCAGATAATTATCTGTTTGTAGAATATAAACTCCTGGCTGTCGCGCAGCCGCACCTCTACCGCCCTGAGGCGCCTGAAAGGAGGCGATAGAGGCTGGTTTTGTTGTCGGGAGAAGGTGATGAGACGGCTTGTGGTCAGGTGTTCTAGCTAACGTTAGCCGCTGTCAGACAGGAAGTAAATAACGCTCCGCGCTCACGTTCACAGATATTTAACAGCTGATAGTAGCCCTGGAGTCCGCCACAGCCACGTGTTAAACTGAATATTTATAGAGAAATAAGCCACGTTAATCCCTGCAGTTAGAAAACATACAGGTATGTTGACAGGCCCGAGATTACCTGCTAGCATATTTCCCATCATTATATTAGCCATATTAATAATGACTTTTATATTAGTGATGATAGATTATTTAAAGGTGACCAAGTAGATGCCACCGCTCTTGTTTAGAAGTCAGATTGTTCCCAAGATATTAAGTTAATGAGCTACAGCAAAGATGCTTTCTGATTATTTGGAACGTTTTACATAATAATAATAATAATAATGTGATGGAGGCCTGCAGGGGAGATGAAAAAGTCCAGCCTCATGATTCTTTCATAAGAACCATTTTAAATAATAAATATACTCTGGCTACAAACATCTCAGCTAACCAGGTGATACTGATCCTTCAGGTGAAACCAAATCCCACTGGACTTAATGCACACACACACACACAACACACACACACACCTGAAAAAAGTCTGCCTGTTTCACAGCCTTCATGTTTTGTACCTGGATGATGGAAACAACAATTTTTGCATTAATGTAAATAAATGTCTGTTTTACTTCAGATATAAATGTTTAAATAATCTTTTATGCATGTTTGCTTCCATAACGTTGTGGTATATTAAATGTAATGAAGGTGCTGGTCAGTGGGTGTGGCTGTCAGCCAGTAATATAATCCAAGAAAGAATAAAACGTATCAGAATGAAAACCAGAAGGTCGAACAGTTGGCAAACCTCTGTTATTAGAGAAATAACTCCAAACCATTGTGGGTTTATTAGTACAATTAAAAACATTTTCTTGTTTATTAACAGATAAAGGGAACAGAGATCTACTTAATGCCTTTAACTGCTCTTAAGATTCAAACTACTTATGGAGGTCGTGTGATCTCATTGCTGGATTTAGCTGTGATTATGTCAGACCTGCAAACTATATAACAATTAAACATGATTAATATTAGTGTTCAAGTACTTTTGCTTTTATGTTACAGCAGTGTACTAAATATGAGCCCGATCAGTCATAATTAAATCTGTTTATAATAAAAAATCAGCCTAGTTCTGATCATTGTGACAGCTCTGGTGACGTCACAACAAACACACCTTTTGTTCTGTCACAGCAGCTTTTTATTATTAGTCTTGTGACGACAGTCGTGACGATTTTTGATGTTGACCTTTAAGTGATGTAAACAGAAACTGATCGGATCCTAAACTTCGTAACTGATGCAGAGACACCGGCCAGCACGGGGTCCGCAGCTGCTGCTGTAGCGGCTTATCTCCTCACACGTTAATCTGCTCAGCCATGACCGGCTGCTTGCTGCAGGACGGCGGGCTGCAGCGCCTCGGCGCGCTCATAAAAGCTCTTTAAGCTGCACATCTTACAGGGAGCAGAAGTGAGAAGCTGAAACCCTCCATGTGGAGCGTCATTACTGACGTCGTCGACTCTGAAAGGCAGCCTTGGCCTCTCCTGGTCACTGGCTATAAATGATTATTCCTTTAAAAGGGATATTTTTGTGTTTTCAAGTGAAAGATTGCTGTCTGCTTGTGAAGTACCTAAAACACCTTTGAGTTCACCAACTAGATGTGAGCGAGTTTTAATAAAATCTGGTAAAAGGAGCAGATTAAGATGTTAGACGAGCATTTACTATATTTATTATTGATTAATAAATATTTCTGTGTTTTAGTGGAATTATCGTGTGTGTTTGTGACAGAGCCTGGATTATGACAGCTGAAGCATCTGATCTGAGGCCCATCTGTGTTCACTTTGCCCCTGGATCGTTGCTTCCAGCCTGAATCAATTATTCCCAATAAGTTCTTAGACAAATAGCTGGAAGCCTGTGTGGGTTGGCTCCGCTGAGGGGGGACTCGGCCGACTCCAAGAGATTTCTGGAGATTATTTTGTAAAGGCTTGCCTCTCGGCCGTAACCCAGCAACAGAGCCCAAGTTGCCGGTGGAAAAAGAAAGCGTCACACAGTGTTTCCTCACATGTTGGTTTATCTGCATCGTCTTTATTAAGATTTTAATCCTAATTAGGTGACAAATCACCTCAGTGAATTTCAGTTTTTGAGATTATCAGGGTGAAAAGCGGAAAATATGATTTAAAACACATTTAGATTTTGAGTTCAAATAAAACCAATTTCTCATTTCCAGTGCTGCAGTTGATTAACTTGGTTCGTACGTCTCATCTTTATTTTAATATTTGTATTGATGGTTAAACAATCATCAGCTGCTGCTTTGCTGCAGCTGCATGTAAAGTAGCTTCACTTTCTGTTTTTACCTTCAGGTTGTTTGAAATCTAATAGTTTGTGTTTGTTTTACTTTTTCAGCTTCATCTATCCCGTCGGAGGGGGCTTGGGACCGCCACAAGGTGAGTCATACTGCAGACGGTGGTATTTTAACAGCTTAGGGTCCTTTTCAGAGGAAATAAACAGAACATTTATGGACTCATCTCATGCACCTTCTGGGAAAATCGACTGCAATTTTATCTGATTATATGAAGAGCAAAAATCCATCAATTTTCATCCGCTTATCCGGAGTCGGGTCGTGGGGCAGTAGCCTAAGGCGAGAGGCCCAGACTTCCCTCTCCCCAGCCACTTGGGCCAGCTCCTCTGGGGGAATCCCAAGGCGTTCCCTGGCCAGGTGAGAGACATAGTCCCTCCACCGTGTCCTGGGTCTACCTTTAGGTCTCTTCCTGGTTGGACGTGCCCGGAAAACCTCACCAGGGAGACATCCTGACCAGATGCCCGAGCCACCTCAACTGGCTCCTCTCGATGAGGATGAGCAGCGGATCTACTCCGAGCCCCTCCCGAATGACCGAGCTTCTCACCCTATCTCTAAGGGAGAGCCCAGCCACTCTTCGGAGAAAACTCATTTCGGCCGCTTGTGTCCACGATCTTGTTCTTTCGGTCACTACCCAAAGCTCATGACCATAGGTGAGGGTAGGAACTTAGATCGACCGGTAAATCTAGAGCTTCGCCTTCTGACTCAACGCTCTCTTCACCACGACAGACCGGTACAACGTCCACATCACTGCAGATGCAGCACCAATCCACCTATCGATCTCACGCTCCAGTTTTCCCTCACTCGTGAACAAGACCCCGAGATACTTAAACTCCTCCACTTGGGGCAGGACCTCATCCCTGACCCGGAGAAGGCTTTCTACCCTTTTCCGAATCAAGGCCATGGTCTCAGATTTAGAGGAGCTGATTCTCATCCCAGCTGCTTCACACTCGGCTGCCAACCGCTCCAGCGAAAGCTGAAGATCATGTTCTGATGAAGCCAACAGGACCACATGATCTTCAGGCCACCAAAATGAATGCCCTCCACACCTTGGCTGCGCCTAGAAATCCTGTCCTTAAAGGTTATGAACAGAATCTGTGACAAAGAGCAGCCTTGGCGGAGTCCAACTCTCACTGGGAATGAGCTCGACTTATTGCCAGCAATGCGGACCAAGCTCTGACACCGGTCATACAGGGATCTAACAGCCCATATCAGAGGACCTGGTACCCCATACTCCCGGAGTACCCCCCACAGGGCCCCCGAGGGACGCGGTCAAAAGCCTTCTCCAAATCCACAAAACGCATGTAGACTGGTTGGGCAAATTCCCACGCACCCTCCAGGATCCCCCTAAGGGTATAGAGCTGGTCCATTGCTCCTCCTGAATCTGAGGTTCAACAATCCGACAGACCCTCCTCTCCAGAACCCCTGAATAGACCTTACCAGGAAGGCTCAGGAGTGTGATCCCCCTGTAGTTGGAACACACCCTGCGGTCCCCCTTTTTAAGTAAGGGAACCACCACCCCGGTCTGCCAGTCCAGTGGGACTGCCCCCGATGTCCGCGCGATATTGCAGACCCGCGTCAGCCAACACAGCCCCACAACATCCAGAGCCTTAAGGAACTCCAGGCGGATCTCATCCACCCCCGGAGCCTTGCCACACAGGAGCTTTTTAACCACCTCAGTGACCTCAGCACCAGAGATTTGAGAGGCCAACCCAAAGTCCTCAGACTCTGCTTCCTCACTGGAAGACGTGTCGGTGGGATTGAGGAGGTGTTCGAAGAATTCTGCCCACCGATCCACAACGTCCTGAGTAGAGGTCAGCAGCACACCGTCCCCACTATAGATAGTGTTGGTAGTGCACTGCTTCCCCCCCCTGAGGCGCCGGATTGTGGACCAGAATCACCTCATTCTTGCTCCATGGTCTCACCGAACTCCTCCCATGCCTGGGTTTTTGCCTTGGCGACCACCCGAGCCATGTTCCTCTTGGACTGCCGGTACCCGTCAGCTGCCTCTGGAGTCCCACAGTCCAAAAAGACCTGATAGGACTCTTTCTTCAGCTTGACAGCATCCCTAACCGACTGTGTCCACCAGCGGGTTCGGGGGTTGCCACCACGACAGGCACCAACGATCCTGCGACCACAGCTCCGGTCGGCCGCCTCAACAATGGAGGCACAGAACAGGGTCCATTCAGACTCAATGTCCCCCGCCTCCCCCGGAACATTTTGGAAGTTCTGTCAGAGGTGGGAATTGAAGCTCCTTCTGACAGGAGACTCTGCCAGACGTTCCCAGCAGACCCTCGTGATACGTTTGGGCCTGCCTGGTCTGACCGGCATCCTCCCCCACCATCTGAGCCAACTCACCACCAGGTAGTGGTCAGTTGACAGCTCCGCCCCTCTCTTCACCCGAGTGTCCAAGACATGCGGCCGTCCGCAGGTCAGATGAGACAACAACAAAGTCGATCATCGAGCTGCGGCCTAAGGTATCCTGGTGCCAAGAGCACATATGGACACCTTTATGTCTGAACATGGTGTTCATTATGGACAATCCATGACTGGCACAGAAGTCCAATAACAAAACACCACTCGAATTCAGATCAGGGGGCATTCCTCCCAACCACACCTCTTCAGGTCTCACTGTTGTTGCCCACGTGAGCGTTAAAGTCCTCCAGCAGAACGAGGGAGTCACCGGAAGGAGCGCTCTCCAGCACCCCCTCCAAGGTCTCCAAAAAGGGTGGGTAGACTGAACTGAAGTTTGGTGCATAAGCACAGACCACAGTCAGAACCCGTCCCCCCACACGTAGGCGGAGGGAGGCTACCCTCTCATTCACCGGGGTAAGTCCCAACGTACAGGCACCAAGATGGGGGGCAACTAGTACGCCCACCCCTGCTCGGCGCCTCTCAGTGGGTGCAACTCCAGAGTGGTAGAAAGTCCAACCCCTCTCAAGGAAACTGGTTCCAGAGCCAGAGCCATGCGTTGAGGTGAGTCCGACTATATCTAGTCGGAAGCTCTCAACCTCACACACCAACTCAGGCTCCTTCCCCACCAGAGAGGTGACATTCCATGTGCCAAGAGCCAGCTTCTGTAGCCGAGGATCAAACCGCCAAGGTCCCCGCCCTCGACTACCACTCGTCACACACTGCATCCGACCACTTTGGCCCCTCCCACAAGTGGTGAGCCCATGGGAAGGGGGACCCACGTTTCCTCTTCGGGCTGTGCCCGGCTGGGCTCCATGGGTGAAAGCCCGGCCACCAGGCGCTCTCCAACGTGCCCCGCCTCCAGGCTTGGCTCCAGAGGGGGGCCCCGGTGACCCACGTCCGGGCGAGGGAACACGGTTTCCATTTATATAATTCATCATAAGAGGTCTTATAAGAAGCAAAAATATCCAGGAAATGTGTCCCTAATGTTTAATGTCACCTTGAGCCATTAGGCTGCTGCAGCCGTAAAAACCACCACTCTGGGGTTCATGCTTGTGGCTCCTCGTGCTTTGCATCATGCTCTGTGAGCCCCAGACGCATCATCACTTATCTGCCAATAAGCTGTTCACGCGGCCCTCAGGGGTCGCTACATGCTCTCGTTAGCAGCGTCGGTGTTAGCCGTTTATTCAGCCCTTTTGAGCCGCGGTGGCGGTGAATCATCAGGAGGCTCAGCTCACACAGCGTCTAGCAAAAAGCTGTTATCCTTCTTGTTCCTATTTATTCAGTTTCCTAAAAACGGATTTGCATAACGGGGTCATGTCCGGTGTTTGTTTCTGACTGGAGTTTTCTTCCACACGGCGTCCTTTCATCAAACTTCCTGCAGGAATGGTACCCATGCAGCAACAGCAGCCGCAGCCGGGCTTCCCCATGGTTCCGGTCATGCAGCCAAACATTCAAGGCATGATGGGAATGAACTTTGGGGGACAAATGCCGCCGGGCGCCATTCCCATGCAGGTGGGTCTCATTTGTCTCCCCGCCTTGTTCCTGATGATGTTCCTCTGCTGCTCCTCTGAGCGTGTTTTACTTGCGGGTTCAACAGGGCGGGATGGCGATCGGGATGCAGACTCCCGGGATGCAGTTCCTGGGTCAGCCACAGTTCATGGGGATGAGACCCGCCGGACCTCAGTACACCGCCGACATGCAGAAGCAAATGGCTGAGGAGCATCAGTAAGACTTGTTTAATACAATTTCTACTCCTCTGGAGATTATATTTGATATTTGTGTTATTTTACAATGAGATCCCATCAGGTTAGCGTGTTAATTGGTCTTTTGTGCCTCGACTAGATTAATGACTCATCAGCTCACACCGCTGCAGACTTGTTAAGTTATTTCCTAGAGTCAGAACTTCACTGAGACGCTTTAGTCTCCAGGGCTGCTGCTTTTATAGCTTCGTGGACCATTTTATCGTCTGCTCTCCTTTTTTTTTCCATCAAACTTTCTTCTTCACCCTTCCTTTGTGTCCTGTGGTTTAATTTTCTCCAGCACATTGATCAGGAACAAAATTAAAGCCAAAAGCTTAATGCAGCGTCAGCAGAAGCAGCTCTGAAGTGGTGGTTTGTGGACCTCAGAGCCTTTTGAGTCCAGTGGGCCTTTGTGGGTCGGACTCATTCTGGTGCCTCTCTCAGATGCCTGATTGGATTGGGATTAGGGTTGTCACGGTAACCGGTGTAACGGTAAACCCCGGTAAAAAAGTTGACAATAATAATAATCGTCTTGTTTAAAAGATATATTATCTCGGTGTATTAGCGTGGCTGCGGTGTAGGCGCGGTGACCCTTACCAGCCACCGTATCATCTGCTGAAGCTGCCGACGGCACATGCGCACTTTGTTGTTTACAACCAAAACTTTCTTGAAGCTAAAGCTGAAATAATGGCCAGAGGAGGAGACGGCAGCACTCAGGACATTTATTATCCCTCAAAGAAGACAAAGTGGGAAGTACGGGCATTTTTTGGATATTTGAAGAATGCCGAGGGACAGCTGATAGAAGACGGCTATCCTGTTTGCAGCACGTGCAGAAAAAGTGTCTGTGAAAGGCAGCAATGCTTCAAATCTCATGACACATCTGCGTGACCATCACCCACAACTCTACAGGCAAGGCAAGCTAACATTAGTGTTTTAGCTAAAATGCTTGATCCGAGGATTTGGGTTGAGGGAGAATGCAACGAGTCGCTATATAAAGCAGCCGCAGCGCCGCTACCTGCATATAAACCGTGTCGCGGACACCGCCATGTTGAAATGACGCTATGCATTACGGGGCTCCCAGGGGCAGATAAGAGTTGGTCTCTCTCCGAGAATAATTATGAATTTAACAATGATTACTGCCTGATGACATTTTCCCACATCTGCAAAGCTCACTGGAAGGACACAAACCGAGGACAATATTTTCCTGATATAGGGTTTATTACTCAAGTAAGGGTAAAAAAGTATCTGATTAGAAGGCTACTTGAGTACTGAGTATCATCTGGTCTAATATTTTTAAAATGATGACATCAAACAGACAAAAAATAAGAAGTTATGGGCAAATATTGGTATTTTAAAGACTAAAGGGGAAACATGTAAACAAATAAACAACATAATTACAAAATAACACATTTTAGGCTAAATTTAGACACAAACTGAGGACAATATTTTCCTGATATACAGGATTTATTTAATTGTCTGAAAGTGTAACACGTTTAAAAAAATACCGCGATAATACCGAAAACCGTGATAATTTTGGTCACAATAACCGTGAGGTTACACTTTCACACCGTGGCAACCCTCACTGGGATCGAGGAGAGTTTGGGTTAGGGCTCATTGTCTCACATCGCAGGGCTGCTTATTTTCATCTGATCAAATATAAAGAATGTAATTTATTCATTTTCTTCTCGCAGTTTCCTAAAAGCCTTCCAGGAATACGTGATGTCTTATCTGTGCTCTTTAGAAAACGTCTGGAGCAGCAACAGAAGATGCTGGAGGAGGACAGAAAAAGGAGACAGTTTGAGGAGCAGAAACAAAAGCTGAGGCTGCTGAGCAGCGTCAAACCCAAGGTGAGGTCCTCTTCGGGCTCTTCAGCTCATCTCTGTTTTTTCCACACACACCATGTAAGTTCCCTGATTCTGCACCCAGACGGGGGAAAAGAGCCGCGACGACGCCCTGGAGGCCATCAAAGGCAACTTGGACGGGTTCAGCAGAGATGCGAAGATGCACCCGACTCCATCATCACAGACCAAGAAACCAGGTAGTTTGACCCCGACTTGTCCAGATCTCCCCTCTGTCACCGTGTCTGATCTTCTGCACGCTTCTGTTGGATCGCCTCGGTCAGAGCAGAAGCACCGACTCGGGGCTGCACAGATGCAGCTTTGTTAGCCAAAGTGTGGATTTTCTGTCTGGAAACGGAGAAGAACTCATTTAAAACACTTTATTTGTTTATTTATTCAAAAACATTAGTAGAAAAATTCTGTTTATTGTTCTCCAGCATGATGATCCTCTCAGCCCATAATTCACTCTTCACAGTTGTGTTTTGTGCCATCATCATCATCATTATTTCTTCGTTTTTGCAGACTCATCGCCATCACACCCGTCTGTCACCACTCACTCCCCCCCCACAGCTTTGTCCGAGGATAATGGCGAGTTTAGTGACTTTCAGGGGCCCGCAGACGCCCCCGCCTCCTTTCCTCCTTCCTCTTCCTCCACCTCTTCCGACTTGGCCCCCCCCTGTCAGGCCCACGCTCTGTCCTCGTCCTCCACCAGCAAAGGTTTTGCTGAGGATGATGATGGTGATGAGTTTAGTGACTTTGTTCAGGGACCGGTAAACACTTTTAGCTCCTCTAACTTCCACCCATCACTCCCTTCCTCACAACCCCCCACTGCTGTCAGCACCTGCTCACAGGCTACTCTTCAAGGTAACTCTTCCTCATCTTTGACCCCTCCCCTCCCCACCCTGTTGTTCAAACTTCTTATCTCTAATACTTTTAATTAGGCTTGTACCGGTTTTACAGTGTGAAGCATGCAGCCTGCCTTAGTTTAACCTATTTTAAACCGTTTAAGCATCTAAAGCGAAAGCTTGCAGCTAAATCCAAAAGTTATGTTCTGTTTGCGGTTTCCACGGTGAACCCTTCTGTCCGGAACAGTGACTCGGCAAATTCACAGTTCGGTTTATTCTCTGATCTCTGAGAAGCTTTTAGCTGACTGATGATGATCTTTTATTTTTCCTGATCAAAACGACGCGTAGCGTTAAAACAAAACTTAAATCTTATCTTTGATAAATACAAGATTATAGCGTTCACTTAAAAAAAAGCTCTGTTTTTCTAAACCGAGATATCTTTTACAAAACCATGATAACATTTGGAGGAAAAGGTGCATTTTAAAGGGATTGTAAGCAGATTTCTGGCTGGCTTTTAGCTCTTTTTTTGTGGTGCCCAAATTTGTGCTACTGCCTAATTTTGTTTAAAGAGCAAGTCACCCTCAAATCAACATTTTTTTGTTGATAAACTGTATAAATGAGTGTCTAATAAATGAGTAAGAATCTGGCAGGGGGTGACTTGCTCTTTAAAGAGCAAGTCACCCCCTGCAAGAGTATTACTCCACTCCCACTTCCTGTTTGAAAAATGCAACAAATGCTGTTGCCTAGCAGACCGAGAGGGTGGAGCCGCTAACAAATACACACACACACAGGGTCGCAACAACATTGTGACATCATATGGTACCAGCCAACGTTCTAGGTTACCTCTTAGCCAATAGCGATGGCAGATTTAAATTCAACTGCAGTGCAGAGTTTTTACCTGACGACGGCGCAACACTGACAGTTTTAGGCAGAAAATTTCATTTTTAACAAAAATGCACTAAAGTGCAAAACTACTGACTGCACATGTCTGCAGCACGATTAGACACGCATTTATACAGTTTATCAGAAAAAAAAGTTGATTTGGGGGTGACTTGCTCTTTAAGCAATTTTTGCAGATTTTCTGAAAATCCCATAAACTTTGTTTCACTTCCCAAATATCTCTTTGTGTCCTGTATGATACATTTAACTGAAAATTTTATTGTACCAACCAATGAGACTCAACGGGGCAGTTTGCCATTACATCGTAGAAGAATCGACCCTTTGCACCAACGTCACCTAATCACGTGGGTCCACCATGCTGGACGGCAAAAGCATGTAAACAGTGAGCGACACGATTACTAAACAAAGGGAAAAGTAGAGCCTGAAATTGTTTTGCTCATATAAATAAATAACGTAATTTTAACACACGTAATCGTACATCGGAGCTTTAATATTGTTAATAATTGTCTCGCTTTACACTACAGTGGACGGAGCGCAGCCTCCGTGGTGAAATACCATCCATCAGGATTATCAATAACTTGTATAAACACATCACAATTATCCCTGTCCCTGTCTTTCTCGTGAAATAAGTGAACGTTAATCTTACCCGCTAAAAACATGTTCGCTGCAAATCTGAGGCCAGCTAGTCCGCTTGATTGATCGCGGCAGTTCATCTCCGTCCTCAGTCTCCATCAAAGTTATTAAAAAACAAAACGAGTTGAGTTTACGTCCTTGTCTGTTAGTGCAGCCGACCACGCAGCAAGCTAAAACCATTTTACTGTCAAATCAACTCAATAAAAGCCATAAAAAGCTACAAACTGGCTTGTTTTGACTACCTTCACTGGACTTTCTACGGGTGTAAACGTCTTTTTGCCGTCCATCATGGCGAAGGCAGCGGTCATATGAGCGGCGTGACGTCACGTGCAAAGGGTCAATACACAAAGCAATATATCATTTTTCTAAATAAACACGCAGCGATTGGCCAAACAAAACTGGGCGGGGCTGCGGAGGTTCCAATGAAGTTTGTCTAGACCAGGGGTGTCAAATATACGGCCCGCGGGCCGGATCCGGCCCGTAAACTAGTTAAATCCGGCTCGAGAGATGGTTGTGTAAACTTTATTTTCATACTTTACAATGTAGAGTGAAAATAAACTTATCATTGTGAGCAAGTTTTCTCTGTAATGAGCATAAATAAAACAAAGCTGCGCTCAAGGCTCACACAAGAACTTGAGTCACATCCTGAAGTTGGCCGCCACTCAGGATGTGACTTCTGATGTTGATGTGCCGGTGAAAGCTAAAAGATGTTAAGTAAAATGAGTCAAATATACTTTAAGTGCTGCATGAAACTGATCTAGCCATGTGATCTGTAAGCTCTTTGAATCACTAAGGAATGTTTTTTATTTTTATTTATTTTTCAAATTTTCAAGTACACTTCAGGTGTTGTACTTGTACTATTTTGGATACTCTGTCCTCAGGCTCCAGCCTTGTTTTATATTGATTGTATTAAAACAAAGAAAACAATCTGAAGTTGTTTTTAATTTACCGGTCCAGCCTAGCCTGGCAAGCCAGACTAAATACATGTATTATTTAGTCTGGCAGTGCTCCATTGATGGCTCTCGGTTGTGGGGCGGGTTCTACCGTTGTCTTTCAAATGATCTCTGCATGCTACTGGACAATGAATGTGACATACTCTTGTTTCACTCTGTTGCATCATCCCACCCACCAGGCATATAGAGTGCCCTGATTGGCCCACAAAGCGGATAAAGCTCTGTGATTTGTTCACTAAGCAGATAGAGCACTATGATTGGCCCACCATTATGGACCAATCACAGCTCTTTATGTGTTTGAAACCCCTCTAGAGAGCTGTGATTGGCCAGCCAGAATGCCGTTAGGGGCTGCAGAGGTTCCAGTGGAGCGTTCCTAGACCAAACTTTGCAAAGCAAGGATTTGGTCTAGTTCACTAGGCTAGGTCCAGCCCACTTGGGACTCGATTTTCCTTAATGTGGCCCCTGAGCTCAAATGAGTTTGACACCCCTGGTCTAGACTGTCATGCAAAGCAAAATCATTTTGACGGTCTAGTCTAGGCTAGCTCAACGCGGTAAAGGTATGTAAACAACCTTCCTCAGTTGTCTCTGCAAAGTAAACAAACTACTAATAATCCCATCTACTTAGTTTAGAAACCAGATTATTTCCCAGTGTCTCAATCCCAAAACAAAGTAAAAGTAAATTAAACTCAACAAGCAGGACATGCTTAGCCTGTTAATTCCCACAAAGCACCAAAAATCGTGTTGATTGAAAATACTGGATTATTATTATTATTATTATTATTATTATTATTATTTATTATCCCGTTTGCTCTAAGAAACGCTTCTTTAAGAAACGTTTTTTGTAAAAATGACCTTGTTTATGTAGAAAAACGAGTTTTTCTGTCTTCAAATGAAAGAAAGAAAGCCTTCATGTTTTGATTCCACACCTTGCCTCCGTCCCAACTCGCTGCTCAGATCCTGAAGAACGACGATGCCGAACGCTTTGTGTTTTCTTAAAGAAGCTAATTCCTCGTTCACCCCTCCAGGCCCGTCGCTGGAAGAGAAGCTGTTCTCCTCCTGCGACCTCACTGCAGATAAAGCAGCTCATGTTAGTTTTAGGTCCAAACAGAGTTTGGCTCTAATGGCTCCCAGAACGAAAGTTTCGTCCCAGTTTCACGCCAGCCCTAAAGCCAGGGACTGGGCTGCTGCCTCTCAGGACTTGAGTTCCATCTTCATCACGGCAAATCTCCCCGGAGCCCCAGCGTCTTCACCCAGCTGCCCTCCGTTTGCCGCTGGCCCGGCGGCTCACACGAATAGCGACAGCGGTGAGAGACGATCTTGTTTATTGGACCTCGCCGCTGCTCGTTCTCTCCCTCGCTTTGCTGCAGCCTTCACTCACAACCAAGGCCAACGTTCTAACTCCACTTCACTCTAATCAGCTTGCTTCTGATTCTCACATTTTCCTGCTGCAGTCAAACTAACGTCCTCAGCGATGGAGTGAATTAGAGTTCTTCTCCTGGCGTCCTCAGCTGTTTTCCTGCCTTTCTGCTCTGTTTTGGGGCTTCGCAATGTCGGCGCTCTCTGCTCCAGTTGGATGAATGGACTTAAGGGAAAACTTCCTGCCTAATAAGCTGCTGTCTGTATCTCGTCTGGTTAAAAACCCTCCCAGACGACGACCTCTGGTGCATGCCTGCTGCTTTGGTGTAACGGGGATGCTGCTGGGGCCTAACGTAATCCAGGGCTGATCGTGCATGCTACTCCGCATCTCCTTTGTGTTGTTATTTGTTTTCTTGTGTCCTCCGAGTCATCAAGGGAAGTCTAGGAACTCGTCATGCAGACCAGGGAGATTTGTTCTAAGGTGCATTTAACTGCCTGAGACTGATGGGATTATTATGCAGAAAGGGACTGCCTGAGTAAACACGAGGACTCAGAATGAGCCGTAACGTTCGACAGAAACAAGGTTTCAGGATATTGTCAGCCGCCAAATTAAAGATTTTATTTGTCTTTTTCCTCTCCTCTCCTTGAAGCTGGAAGTGAGTCACAGATTGATTTATTGTTGTTGTCTGATGTGGCAGGACACTTGTGATGCAGTGCAGGGGAGCGTACGCCGAGCCCTCCAGACTTCAAGTGTAGGATGTTTGTTTGATGTGAGCAGGGCTCAGCTGCAACTGTGTGTGTGTGTGTGTGTGTGTGTGTGTGTGTGTGTGTGTGTGTGTGTGGGTGTGTAACAGCAGGTGTTGCAGTGTACACACAACAAGAGCAAATCCAAGCCTTGATGCCAGCTTGGGTATACAACGACAGCCTCGTTCCTGGTAAAAACTTTGACGCTTCGGATGTTTTATGTTTCGGTAGCGAGGCTCTGACCCCGAGGTGTTTCCTGCTTTTTTTTTTCTCAGACATGTTTAAGAAAGTTCTTGAGTTCACCACGACTCCAGCAGGGATCGACACAGCCAAGCTTTACCCAATATTGATGTCGTCTGGGCTTCCCAGAGAGGCTCTGGGGCAGATCTGGGCTACAGCCAACCGCACCACACCTGGCATGCTGACCAAGGAGGAGCTCTACACTGTGCTTGCACTAATTGGTGTGGCTCAGGTAAAAACACTGCCATCAAAACAAGTTATTCACTCAGAGCGACTGCGGTAATCACCCCCATCAGCTTCCTCTAGCTCCCTGTAAATTCCTCGTGGATCAGAGACCGAAAGAAGAGAAGCCTGAATGAATCCACGGCTGGCGGAGCATTAGGAGCCCAGAATAAGTCCGAGTCCCCATCGTATCGGTTTGTCAGGAGACTTCTCATCTCCAGCCCGAGTCTGTCACCATATCTTCCCTCGAGGATGCAAATCTGCGGGCAGCTCACGAAGCACCGCACGCCGCTGCCTCCATCTCTGGAATAATCAGAAAACTTTGTTGATGTAAAAATGTTAGAGATGATTTCTGCAGGTTACATCTACGGTGCCTCTCCACCACTCCAGGTTTTTCAGATCATCCCAAAGAAAAAAGAAACATAATTTTTTTTATCAGTACTTGTTAAAAGATGAATAAACTTGTTGGTACACGGGCGTGTTTACAAGTTAAAGGTGATTACATTCTTACCCACTATAAATGGCTCCTGTGTAGCAATTACCCCCTATCGGACTGATGGGCTAACAGCTAGTGTGTTGCTGTCATCTCAAAGCAGCTGCAGCCTCTAAACTATTTTTATTGTGATTAATATAAAGTTTAACACGTTTTAGCAACAAATTTTTATTTATAGGGATGCAACGATACCCCTTTTTTCCAAACCGGTACCGATACTTGGATCTGAGTACTCGCCGATACCGATACTTCTACCTCACAAAAAAATTAGGACCGTGACTTTAACGCGTTAATTGATTAATGAATTAGAAAAAAATTTACGCATTTAATCACAGCTTGCATTTCGAGCAAGGCGGAACCTTTGTCATTGCACGATTTCCTCGTAGACCGAATATCACTGATGCACACAACAATGCACAGCGCTAATGGCTACTAAAACGGAATAGAAACAGAAAGAAGTTGCCTTGCTTGGACTGATGCAGGATTTAGGAAACACGTCCGCCTCTTTTTTTAACTATGAAAAAAATAAATTTCCAGACAACAACGGAGTCCGTGTCACGGACATTTTTCAGAGATTGTCTCTGCTGCAGCTGCCCGGTGGCACCGAAAACTTTCCAAAAGTTGCGATAAGCTATATTTTTAACATTTACGTAACATCTGTGCAGCGCTGAAAGCTCCAGACAAAATAATTCTTTGCCCTAACAGTAGTTTATGAAAGTAGTCAGACAAACGAGAGGCACCTGGCTGCCGCTGGGAAAATGCTCCGTGTCCTCATTACTCTGATTTTAGATGTTTTGGGTCTTGTTTCATATCACACAGTGACACTTGAATAATTAAAATGCATTTTTTAATTTAAAAGCTTTAGTTTACAGTAATAACCATGTCTAATGTTTGATTCTCTGTCTCATAATTTTAATTAAAAGTTTTGCTTTGAGGGCACATTTTTCTGAATGATTAAAATGTGATTAATTTAGATTAATTAATTACAAAGCCTCAAATTAATTAGATTAAAATTTTTAATTGAGTCCCGACCCTAAAAAAAATGCAATGATTTGGAATACAGATTTTATTTTCTTCTCTGCTTTCAACAGGAAAAGCACATGAGGTAGATAAAAAGTAAAATATATGAATAGAAATCATCACAAAACTAAAATATTAGGTGAACAGAAATGACAAGTTACACTGAAGCCATTTTCAAGCAACCGCATTGGTATCGGTTCCTGGTATTGATTAACTTTCATCGATTCCGATACTGGTATCGGCAACGATACCGGTATCGGTGCATCCCTATTTATTTATGTTTATTTACGAGCATTGCACAAAGAATTGTCTCATGACTGAAATTGAGCCACATTCAGCACCAGCGCTTGAAAGTCTAGAACTCAAAACTAAAAATAGTTTTTTTGGGGGTCTAAATGCAAACATTCAAAGCATAAATAAAAATAAAAAAAATCAGATGTTTTTCTGACGCGTGAACTCATCATTGTTGAGGTCTAATTTTTGTTAGCAACGTCAGATCTTTGTAGAAGTTTTTACTGTCACCGGCAAAATAAAACGTTCTTGCCTTTTACAACCTTTAACACAGACACACTTAAAAGCTGCCAGAATATTCCTTTATCTGTAGAAGTTGCAGAAAGTGCCGTTAGCAAAAGCATCGGTGGGAGAACGTTTTCTGTTATTTTGGGAACAACCGGACGGAGGAATCTTGTTTCTCTGTTTCAGAGCGGCCTCCCAGCCATGAATGCGGAAATCTTGAGTCAGTTCCCTTCTCCACCTATCCCCAACCTGCCGGCCTTCGCCATGGCCATGGCCCCCATTTTGCCCCAGCACCAACAGCCCATAATGACCCAGCCGCCTGTCTCCATACCGATGGCCACACCAGCAGCTCCAGTTATGGCCATGGCCCCCTCTGCACCTGCTCAGCCGCCCACAAACACCAGCTTCATTGCTGCGTTCCCTCCTGCGCAGGTAACGCCAAACCTCGTTAAAAAGCCTCTCTGCAGCTGGTTGCTTCTCTTATCTAACCGTCAAACCGTCCCACGCAGGCCGCCAAAACCGACGACGACGAGTTCCAGGACTTCCAGGAGGCTCCGAAGGCTGGAGTGGACCAGGCCTTCGCAAACTTTCAGGGGGAGTCGGGAGGAAGTTTCCCTAATACGATCGCCCCTCAACTCCAAAACAGGTACGGAGAAAACAGAACTCTAAATGGTCTTCATTCTGATCAGTTTCAACATAAAACACTCGGCTTTCCTTTAAACTAGTGGAGTTTTGTGCTCTGCATTTGAAATAAGCTACCAGCTGAGTGTTCCACCATCAACCTCTTTGAAGAGGAGATGTGAACATTTGCAGAGATGAGCGTCCAATACCCCCTCCCCCATGATTATTTATAGCAGAGGTATTCTGCATAATAATTGTCTCTTTCCGTCTGCCGTACACTCTGTTAGTACCTTGTAATAGCCTCCTCTGAATAGCAATGAGGTGGGGTCACCCCATAATAAATTCATGCCAGTGGACAGCGGCGGTGTTCGTTTCTGCGTTTTACTTTCTGTAAACACATTTGATCTGAAACACATTTTCCTGTTTAAGGACTCTTGTTGACTCGAGCTGGAACCTTCAAAAGCCTCGTTTACTTAGAATGCGTGTTTTTATTAAACACGATCGGTCGCTCTGAGTTTCACATGCTGAACCAGAACATCTCCTCCAACCCCATCACCTGCTTTAGCCACAGAAAGGAAACCTACGGGAGCAAAATCAGGTCAGAAAAAGCCACACTCTTCTACGTCGTAAGGAAAATGGATTTTTCTTGGCCCCGCCCACTTTGAAGGACAGAGCAGCTAGTAGAAGCTAACTGTTAGCATTAGCAGCTCCACAACAGCAGAACTCCTTCAGACTTGTTTTATTTATAGAGATGAAACATCGTATTTTTTAAGCCAAATTTCTACGTCTCCCATCAGCTCCACGAGGGGGACACGCACGCCGGGACAGAGACGGTTTGCCTTTGGACTTCTCCGTCTCCCGGGGAGTGTTGCAAAGCAATTCTCCACCAGGACAACAGGGCGTAGCGCTGTTCTGGGGGTATCCCGTCCAATATAGTGTTTTTATATTGTGTTTTTTATATTTAAGAGACTTTCTAACAATCATGCGCTCGCCGCCTCTAACCTACGTTTCCCGTCATTTCCGTCCACGAGTAAAACGCTTGCTGCTCATCTTTTCACTCCTCCAGTCAGGGGGGAATTAAACGTTTATATTTTTACGGTTAGGTATTCTTCAGGCTTCTCTGTGTCTGCTGCTAGATATCTTCAGCTCTCTTTGTGTTTGAGGGCGCAATGGCGGAGCTGTAGACGACAGCGGCGTCGTGACCAATCACAAGCTTGCGTTCTCCATCTCATTGGACGGATGTTTAGAGAAGAGAGCTCGACTCCGTTCATCCCTGCGAGAGAACCCTTGAAAGGACGGATAATGGTGTTGCGTGCGTCCGTCCCGACCATCACCATATATATTGGACAATGCGTGTCCATAGGCTCCAATTCTAAGTTTTTGTGCCAAAATGGGAGGTGACCACCACCACCATTTTGACCGTGTCACAGGTTCCGTCAAGCCCAGACAATTCCAATAAAGGGAAAAGAGGTGGAGCTGAAGGCGGGGCTGTAAGGCTGGGATCAAATGACGACACCCGTCGAACTAGCTACAAGCTAACACAAAGCTAACACGGAGGTGGAAGCTAAGTTAACGGAGGTAGCTACCTAGCTACAACCAGAGTTTACTGTGCACAACACCAGAACTTCTGAGTCAGAAATGCGCCGGTCTGAGCGCTGGGTAAAACCGGGTGGAACACAGAGGTCTCCCGAAAGCTTCACAGGCCGGCAGCCGCACAACAGACGGGCGCCGCCGCTGCGATCTGAGATGCGCTGAGCTGCCGCTGAGGGGAGGGAATCCATACGAATAGTCGGAACCCAGCTCCACCAACATGTCACATTTCAACCCATTTTCTAAAGTGCAGCATTAAGTTAAATGCACTGGGTTTTACCCTATTACATTTAAATTTCATGGTTAAAGGGGCATTATGGAAGTGTGACAGCCAAAACATGTATAGAAATAATAAATGTCTTCTTCATACATTCTCCTGCAATGCCCTGGTCCTGTAGAATGAGCCCTGGCATTTTTACTGTGATTGCCTGTTTTTCTGTAAAATCACAGAAAAAGAGAGATGCTCGGGTCGAGCAGGCTGCTTCATGCGCGTTCACGCTCAGGCATCGCCCTCCGAACCGTTCTTTGAACGTTGTTTCAGCTGTGATCAAGGATATAAAAGTTATAGATGCAGAAGATGCCACTGGTGCTTTAGCTCGCCTAGTATAAGTTCGAGCTGTCGTGCAGAAGACCTGGGTTTGATTCTGGATGTGAACATAGTTTATTTAGAGTTTATTTTTTACATTAATGGTATATTTTTTACAGTAAGATGCCTATTAGTGCAATTAATGCCACAGCAAGTCATTTTGTCCAACAATTGCTCAAATAATATCCAAAAATGAACGCACAAACGCTACAACTAATGGTCTAAGTTGAGAGACTGAAAATGACGGAACAGTTTTCAGGCGAGGCCGAGGCTCTACTGAGGCCTTTCCCCGGAGCTAGCTCTGCGGTCACGTGGGTCTGATGCTCATTAATTATACAGAATTTTAGGCTTTTAATACACTTAAACAGAAGAGTGAGAAAAAAACTCACCCCCCTCAGAGTTGTCATGAGTGTAAACTAGATCATTTAAACCTAAAACATGTTCTGGTACCAGGCTGTAAACATGTTTATTTCTGCTGTGAAATTGGTATTTTTAACATGGGAGTCAATGAGGATTTGCTCGCTTCTGACACCAGCCCCTAGTGGATGAGGGTGAAACTGCAATTTTTGTCACTTCCGTGTTGGCCTCATTTTCAGACCCGTATTGTGGGGGCTTGGTCCCGACGCAGACGCAGAAGTATAAATTAGGCTTTATCCAAGAAAGAAAAGTGAACGAAGGCCACGGAAGGGTGGTGTTTCTGTTAGCCAATCAGAGGACAGACATTTGTATATCATGAAAATTAAGGAGTAAGACTCCTCTGATAAACTTCTCCTTCCTGAAACAGGAGCGCCAAGGCTTTTCTCCCACAAGGCGTTCGTTCAAGCCAGAGACCACAGCGAGTTTATTAAAAACCTTTTAAACATTAAAATCATCTCCGACGTCTGCTAGAGGGTAAAGCTCGTTCACTCCTCTCGTCTGAAGTGAGCTTTTGTGTTTGAACAGCACTCCGGCCATGCTGACTCCAGTGTCTGGCTCCTCCTCTTCCTCTGTCACGTCCACCGATAAGTACGCTGTGTTCAAGCAGCTGTCTGAAGATCAGCCCGCAGAGCCGACGCCCCCCACATCAGGTGAATCAAACTCCCACGGCGCTCCAATCTGGGGCCGTACGTCACAGCCGTGGCCCGTGACTCATGTTAAAACGGTTCGTGACTGTTGTACAACTTTCTGTTCAGATGTTGGTGACAAGTACAGCGTGTTCAGACAGCTGGAGCAACCCGCTGACAGGAAACCTGTTGGTAAGGAACACACCTTCTCCTCCTCGCTGTAATCTCTGTCATCATCTCAAACGTTTCTAGTAAATTCAGCCATAGATTCTGAGTGTTTCACCTCTTTGGGGAATAAAACTATTGATCTGAAGTTTTAGAGTGGATGTTTGTGAGCCCGGAGTGGTGATCTGAGTGTATTTCCCGTCCGTGTTTCATTAGAACAGATTCCGATGGGGGCTGCTCTTACATCTCCAGTAAGTCGTGCTTTGCAGTGACCTTTCTTTGGCATTGCCAGGCTCCATCCTCTCTAATGAGCCTATTAGTTATCTCTCTTCCACCGCCGGTGTGAACAGACCGCATCTATCACTCCTCAGTGGTTTTTACCCGACTCCTGTCTCGTTTCTTGGTTTTGCAACACAACGAAGTGAAAGTTTGTTCTGACTTGCCCAAAAATGTTCATCTGGTTGATTTTGGCTTTTTGAAGATCAAGAATAAAACTGAGGATGATCATTTTTGCTGTTTGGGTTTCTTACTTGTCTGCTGCGTGGTCGTGTTGTTAGAAGCATGTCTTCTGCTCTCTCTGAGGCCACGGTCCATAAAGGCGTTTCTGTGACTGGCTTCCTTTCTTAGAGGATAACAAACAACATTGTTTGCTGTTCTGTTGTTTGGTTTTTTATGTCCAACTCATCTACTATCTTTTGGTTTCCAGGGGAAGGATTTGCAGATTTTAAGTCCATCAACACCGACGACGGCTTCACAGACTTTAAAACTGCCGACAGCGTCTCTCCACTAGACCCCCCAGATCCCACCAAGATCTTTCAGCCTGCCTTCCCCTCAGCTTTCCCAAACTCTCAGAATGTACAGCAGCCTGCAGCGTCGGCATCTCAGTCCAAAAACCCTCTCAACATGGCCGACCTGGACCTTTTCTCCTCGGTGGCTCCCCCTGCTCCTGCGTCCACCGAGACCAAGCCCGGTACATTCCCTTCTGCATCCGTGCCTCCTTCTTTAGTGCTCCTGCCCGGCGGAGCCAAGCCTCCAGCGGGAGGCACGGATGATTTTGGTGACTTTGCCCTCTTTGGCCCCTCCTCTGACACGGCTCAGGCTTCAGCAGCAGGAGGAGCTGCAGCAGCGCCTCAGGATGACTTTGCAGACTTCATGGCGTTTGGCAGTTCTGGTGGAGAGCCGAAAGGTGAGAGCAGCACGGGGGTCCGAGGGGAGACCTCCGCGAAGCAGTCTCAGCAGGGCGCCGACAGGTACGACGTGTTCAAACAGCTGTCTCTGGAAGGAGGCCTTTCCTACGACGACACAAAGGAGAGCGGCGGCGGATCCTTCTCGTCGCTCAAGAGCGACACGGATGACTTTGCCGACTTTCAGTCGTCGAAGTTCTGCACGGCGCTCGGTGCGTCGGAAAAGACTCTAGTGGACAAAGTGGCTGCGTTCAAACACGGCAAGGAAGACTCCGCCTCCGTCAAGTCCCTCGACCTTCCGTCCATCGGCGGCAGCAGCGTTGGGAAGGACGACTCGGAGGACGCACTCTCAGTTCAGCTGGACATGAAGCTGTCGGACATGGGCGGAGACCTAAAGCATGTGATGTCAGACAGCTCTCTGGATTTGCCGGGTCTCTCGGCACACCAGCCCCCCGCTACAGGTGAGGAACTAGTGCGTTTGCTCTGGTGAGGCTCCGTTCAGCCGCACACGGGTTTTACTGCAGCCGGCCAGCCCCCCCCCCAGCGGAGCCACTTACAGTACAAACCGCCAAGCTAAAGGTCAAAGGGCAAGGAATGGGTCCCTGTCCAATGGAATATGACCAAATCCAGATGAAAACACTAAAACATATCAGATTAGAAGCATCATTTTCATCTTACATCCCATCAGTCATTCATTAATTCATTCATTCATTCGTTTATTTATTTATATTTTCTCCTCTTTTTAATGACATCCCATTCGTTCATATTGTGGTGACGGATCTGTTTATGTAGAAATAACGAGCGTTGGGTTCTGAGGCGTTAGTCGTGGTTTACAGCTGCGTTTGGCTCCAATAAGCTGCTGGTGTGTTGTTGGCGGCGCTGCAGCAGACGCAGCGTAAGGGCGCGTAGTCCACGCGTGGAGCAGGAGGCCCGGCTGGACTCCGAGGAGCGCGGGAGTTGGTCAGCTGTGAGGATCCCCGTTTATTCAGATCACACCTTTTTTGCACACGCGTCACACATTTCCTGAAGCGTCGCCTCAAAGGTTGATTCAGCGGCTGTTTGCTCGGAGGCAGAAAATATCACAAAAGGTTGTTGTTGTTGATGAGAGATTCTGCATGCAACACTAAATGTTTAACGGTTGCTGGTGTCTGCAGCATCATGTCAGATCCGAGTGCACGTGTCAGAATTACCGCATCAACTCTGCTGTTGATTATTTACTTACGAGATTCTAGCTGGGCCGTCGGATTTTTCATCTTCTTAGAGTCAAATTTTACTTAAAGCAACACTTTGAAACTTTTTCATGTTTTAAAATAATTTTCTTGAGCCAGAATGTGTTAAAATGACCCTTTACAGGGTTAAAGAAAGGCCACCCAGCCCCTCGCCCCCTGTGGCCAGAATATTCCGCTTGCAACTTCAGACTGGCGGCCGCTCTATTGGGACTTAGAAAAAATGGAGCTGACATACCTGGTGCTGCAGTCTGCTTCCAGCACGTTTCCTTCACGTTTTAGATCATGAAAACAGCTGATTTGTCTAATTTAGTGACGATCACTCTTGTAGACACTAATGAAGGCTGGCCGATGTTTCAGCTGTTAGATGAATGTGCTATGGAGATGAACGCACAGCTTTCAGTTCCACAAATGGACACTAGAGGGTGGTATAAGCATGCCAAAACTGCCTAGTTCTCTTTTAAGACTTAGTTAAGGTTCAGTTATTAACTAATTCGCTGCCAGAGTTTCTCACCGTTTTTACTGTTTTTTTTAAGAGTCACAGAACGTTTCGCGCTAGGATGATGCATCGACATATAAATATTGGACAATGGGTTTCCATAGGCTCCAGTAACACATTTTTGAAGAAAAATGGGAGGTGGCCACCACGGCCATTTTGACCGTGTCACAGGTTCCGTCAAGCCCAGACAATTCCACAAAAGGGAAGAGAGGTGGAGCTGAGGGTGGGGCTGTAAGGCTGGGATCAACTGACGACACCCGGTTGAACTAGCTACAAGCTAACCTGAAGCTAACCCAAAGCTAACGCGGAGGTGGGAGCTAAGCTAATGGAGGTAGCAACCTAGCTACAACCGGAGTTAACTGTGCACAACACCAGAGCTTCTGAGTCAGAGATACGCCGGGCTGACCGCTGGGTAAAACCGGGTGGAACACAGAGGTCTCCCGAGAGCTCCACAAGCCGATAGTCGGAACCCAGCTCCACCAACATGTTATATTTCAACCCATTTTCTAAAGTGCAGCATTATGTTAAATGCACTGGGTTTTACCCTATTACATTTAAATTTCATGGTTAAACAGTACATGTTAAAATCTAAGCTCAGCTCGGCAGTGACCTAAAATACATAAATATAATTTTACTTACCGAAAAATGAAGTGGAGACTCCTTGGACGCTCTATTAGTGCAATTAATGCCACAGCAAGTCATTTTGTCCAACAATTGCACAAATAATATCCCAAAAATAATACACAAACACAGAGACTGAAAATCCCAGAACAGTTTCCAGGCCAGACTGAGGCTCAACTGAGGCCTTTCCACAGAGCTAGCTCTGTGGTCACGTGGGTCTGATGCTCATTAATTATACAGAATTTTAGGCTTTTAATACACTTAAACAGAAGAGTGAGAAAACAATCCACCCCCCTCAGAGTTGTCATGAGTGTAAACTAGATCATTTAAACCAAAAACATGTTTTGGTACCAGGCTGTAAACATGTTAATTTCTGCTGTGAAATTGGTATTTTTAACATGGAAGTCAATGAGGATTTGCTCGCTTCTGACACCAGCCCCTAGTGGATGAGGGTGGAACTGCAATTTATTTCAATTCCGCGTTGGCCTCAATTTTTCACCCACATTCTGGGGGCTTGGGATGATGTCGACGCCAAAACAACCGAAACAAAGAGGAGACTCACCTCTTACATCAGGAAGAATTCGCACATATCGAGCGTTATCTGTTCTTTCAAAATCCGTTGTTGAATTGTGATCGGCAGAAGCTTTTCCGGTTCGCGCCTCACTTTTTTTTTTACATCAGCGGCCCAAAACGATCTCCTAACACATGGATTTTCTGCTTCCTGATCATGTGACGTGTGACGTACGCGGTTGAAGATCGGCTTTAGAGCTGGGGTGTTTGTTCTTACAGTGCGGGGGCTCGTCCGACGCCCACACAGTAAAAACGTGCAAATGACGACTATTCGTCAACGGTAGTGAACAAGTTAATGGTTAATCGACTAATGTCAGTTTAAGATTAGGTAGTCTATGTATCACTAGAGAAAAATCAGATATAAGAAGTCCGTTAAGGTTCCCATTTTTGCAATCAATGGTTAAGAAAAAAAAAGTCATTTTTTCATGCGTACTGTTATTGGCTCTTGTTCTCCGATCGCGTAAAACGACTTGATCAAGCCTTTCCTGCATTCCGCACTACGAAATAGGTAAAAGTATGATTCATGCTGATATCGTATCAGATTGATATCGGTATCGGCCATTACTGAAGGCTGCAATATCGGTATCGTATCAGAAATGAAAAAGTTGTACAGGGACATCCCTACGTCCCCCCCCCCCCCACACACACACACACACACACACTCACACCGCACCAAAATCTCATCGTTTATTCATCCTGCATCTCGCTCCCACTTCCTGTCCTTTGCTTTCATTGGGGCTCATGACTCGTGCACGTGGACGTGCACACCAAACTACTCTTAAAGAACATTCCCATGGCCTTATCTCCATTAAGCTTGTCTGCTGCTGCAGATGGGCCAAAGATGGCCGATTTTAATGTCAGCACATTCACTTGTTTCTACTTCTGCTGTGTTTATCCAGAACCGTTCGAGCTTCTGGGCGAACCTGTTGTTAAATGTAGCAGGCCCAGAAACGCGAGCGCCTCTCCTCTGTGTTCCAGGAAGTGTTTGTAATCTTAAAGAGACAGTATTTCTTTGTGGGGAACCGGATCTTTGTGTGTTTGTTCTTTCTTTCCTCTGTAGCATGAGATCCTGGCTCTGCGGTCCTGCTCTCTGAGAACGTTCCATTTAAACCCTTCCTGCCTTGCCTCTTCCTGCAGTGTGCCTGCTTTTACAGTTTGTGAAATTGACAAGAAGCGAATACAGAACCGGTCGGTTGTTTTTATCTAAGGGACGATGCATACTTACAGATTTAAGAGTGTATTTTTACTACAGGATTTCTCTTTATTTTGAGGTTAGAAAGACTCTCTGGTCTTGTTGTGATTCGACGACTCCGTCGGTTAAACGTGTTTTAGGTTCGCGCGAATCTAAGTGTTGGTGCTCGTTAGCCCGCTTCGATGAACAATCACTGTAGCAAGAGAAAAGGGATACTGTCTCTTTAAATCTGTGATTGGATGTATTTAAGCCCCGCCCACCTGGGATGTCAGGATTGTTTCTCTGCAACCCTTTGAGTGCCTGTAAAGGTTGATGATGTGTTTGTTAACACGGTTGGCTTCAGCGTAAAAACATGGAGGCCCATCAAACCCGTCTTCCTCGTCAGGTCCTCAAAGGGTTCTCGTTTCCTGCCTTGTTCTTTCTACCAGACCTTCCAAAAATGTTCTGTATTCAAATCTTTTCCCAGGAGCTCCTGTTTTAACCTCTTACTAGTCCCCCCTCCCAAAAATCTGCTGAACTAGTCTGTGAATGTGCCTTTTCTCTGGTCTCTGCTTCTTCTACGGGGGTCATGTTGGCTCTCGTGATTGTTTTCTCCCGTTTCTCCTGCCTCTGCATGCTCCTGTAATCAAAATGACTCTGGCATCTGATTTTTCCAAGTGTTAGTTTGACCAACCTCTTGTAACGATAGACCTCTTTCACACTACTTTGTGACTCTCTCTCTTTCTCTCTACTGTTGTTGTGGTAATAAACATTACTATTGGTATTGCTGAAACGCGTACCGTCTTTTCCTTTTCCTTTTCTTCTTCGAGACGTGGTTTGATGACATTAAAGCTTGCAGCCATAGATTCTTGTCAATTTCACAAATTGCTTTTTTAAAAATGCAAAGGGTCCAAGCAGGTGGATTTGTGAGTTTTGAGGGAAACCGTAGCTGTCGGCTAACATTAGCGACGAGGAGCTCATGTAGCAGCAGAGGTGTGTTATTAGGCTGGCCGCATCCAGGTTGCATCTGGGATCAAAACAGATCTGATCTGGGTTTTTGTCTCCAGTGGGAAATGCGCCGGTGTCGGTACAGGATCTGCTCGGGTGCAAGATCGGCTCGGGGTCCTTCGACTGCTGATGATGTCAAAGTAGTTGATTGGCTGAACATGAACCTTACAGAATTACGTAATCACGTTACGTTGTTATCATGTTACGTTGGTCCAGGCAAATTTTTCTGTTGGAAAGATGGACAACTTTTACAAAGAAATCCAATATTACCTCATTGAAAATACACTTTTAGCATAGAGCTGCATGTATATTAGGGCTGAACGATTAACTGCATGTGCAATTAAATTGCGATGTGACAAAAGGAGATTTTCTAATTGCAAAGGCTGCAATTTGGCAGCGAGTGGTTAGCGCAATGCTAATATACATGGGAAAACCCATAGGAATGCTAATGCTAATATCACTGATAACATTCTAACAAATTATGAATTAGAAACGTGCCAAATGATTACATTTGGAGTCTAATAGAAAGTAAAACTACCATCAATCAAATAAGTACAGACAGGTATTTTAGTAAAGCCAGAAAACTTTTAACTCCAGAGTTTTGGCTAGCAGCTATGAGCGTAACTGAACTACGCATGGACAAGACGTCAAAAACTCTAAACACAAAATACTTCAATAAACGGGACACACTTCTTTCCTGCAAATACAGTTTCACAGGTGTTGCTAATACCTATGATCCTTCAAGGGATGTGCTCAGAGAAGAGTTCAACATTATGAATAAAATATAGTGTTTTATTTTACAAATACCATTATAAACACAAACTTACGTCTTAAGAAACATTATTTTAATAACGAAACTGCTAAATTCTTTCCAACAGTATAGATGTGTAGTGTATTTTGTCCGAGTGGGTTTGCCGTAGTTTGACGTCATCGGCAGTCGAAGGACCCCGAGCCGATCTTGCACCCGAGCAGATCCTGTACCGACACCGGCGTTGTCGTGCAGCCAGAAGAGGAAGGAAGAAAAGCAGCTTTAGAGCAGCAGTAGGATGGAAATGATTCACCTCAGGCTTTAAAATAACAAGAGATGTTTTATTATACAGAATTATCCACAGTGTGGGCGGGAGCGGGTCGTTTTCAAAGATTCTCACTGTCAGGATAAAACAAAAATCAGCTGAATGCATCTTTAAAGAGCAGAGTGTGTGTGTGTGTGTGTGGGGGGTGTTTAGATCTGTTCTCACAGACAAAAATCTTAAAAGGAGAGGCGTGTCACATGCTTTCACTCACGTCTCCCCAGAGAAGGTGAACCTTCACAGCTGCAGGTTGGGTGGAGTAAAAGCGCCGGTCTGGAGCACATTGGAGGATAAATGTGATGCAGGAAAGCTTCAGCAGCGTTAACATCGTCGCTGAAAACGTCCAGAGGAATGAGCGTAAAGCAACATGTAGGCCAGCAGAAGTAAAGCATGAAGCTCTGTAGATGCAGACATATTCACACGTCTCACCTGCACCTGGGTGGGTTCCTACCCGACCTTCTGTCTGCTATTCCCGAGAACCATCCGTATGTCTGTGTTGTTTTTACAGAAGGCGACAACATGAAATTTGACCCGTTTCGGACATCGGCCCTCAGCACCCTGACTAGCTACGACTGGTCAGACTGTGATGAAAGTCAGCAGAATGAACTCAGAAGGCCTCAGGGTCCGGAAGGAGCTCCGTTTCCATCTTTAGTCCCGTCAGAGAAGAAGGAACCGGGCTTCGGCAGCACTGAAAACATCCCAAACGGCTCCATAACAAAGATCCCAGCCCCTCTAGCTGCAGGCGACGGCTCGGCCGCGGATGATAAGTTTGAGGCTTTTGCCGACTTTGACTCGGGTAACCGAGGCGACGAGGATGATTTTGGAGACTTTGCCAGCACCGTTTCTGAGAAATCGGACTCGCCTGCTACCTCAGCGGAGACGGGCTCAGAAGGACACCAGACGGACGTCTCCGAGGAGTTCGGCGCTTTCCAAGGGGACAAACATAAATTTGGCAAGTCCGACTTCCTGAAAGCCAGCGCTCAGCCCAAAGTCAAGTCTAGCGAGGAGATGATCAAGAACGAGCTCGCAACGTTTGACTTGTCCGTTCAAGGTGAGCCATCCTCATTCATTCGTTCTAACGCACGCTGTTGTTTCCAGAAAAAACATGGAAGCCTCTAAATCCTGTTTTAAATAAACCCAAAAAGAATCAAACTACTTTAGGGGTGATGACTGAATGAGCATGTGCCCTGAAATGGCTCCTTCAGCATCCCACACGTCCACCTCCTCTGATCTGTAATGGAGCTGTCAGACATCAGATGGTGGTGTTGCCATGACAGTCCAGCTCCTGATGGCGTAGCCGCTGAGATGGATCATGACGACTTACAAACCCATGAGCAGAAATGAACCGTAATCACTTTGAGGCCGTTCCTTTTTAGCTGCTTTTTATGTTCCACAGAATGATTGAGATAGCCCCCCCCCCCCCCCCCCCCCCCAAAAAAAAAACACACACAAGCCGTAAACCAGTAATCTGGTTGTGAGGAGGTTGTCAACCGCCTCACTGGGTGGTGTTGTAGCCGTCTCTGGGCACATCTACCTCCAGGATCCATCCGTCTGATGGACAGCTCAGACAGAATCATGATTTTGTTTGTTTGTTCGTCCGACGCTCGCCTCCTGTCGGGGACGCAGGTTCCCACAAACGCAGCCACAGCCTGGGTGAGAAGGAGATCGGCCGTTCGCCTCCGTCTCCCGCTCCAGAGCAGCCCTTCAGAGACCGATCCAACACCCTGAGCGAGAAGCCCACCCTGCCCATCATCAGGGACAAGTACAAAGACCTGACCGGGGAGGTGGAGGTGTGTCGGTGAAGCCAACGACTAACCGGCTAAACGCTGCAGAGCAACAGCTCAAATAAACAAATTCTGTGTTGTTGCAGGAAAGCGAGCGCTACGCATACGAGTGGCAGAGGTGTTTGGAGAGCGCCCTGGAGGTTTGTACTCCTTATCCGACTTAATTTGTTGTTCAAGTACCAAATAATTACAGAAACAGGAATGTGTTTACCCACCAAGGCGAAGGACTTGCTGCCCCATTCGCTGATCTAATTTTCCCTCAAGTCATTCCTTTTATAAAGCACTTTCAGACGCCAGACATGCAAGTGTGGAATCCACATAAGTAACAGTAAAAGTCAATAAAAGCAATTAAAGATGTCTTCTTCAGATGTTAAATGCATCATCAGCGTTTTTTAAATCTCCACTCAGGAAGTTGCGATAGTCGATGCCCGAAGGCAACGTGTTGGTTGGAGCAATAACTGAAAACACACGATGTCCCCGAGATTTGGGCGGTCCCAATTCAAAGTGGGCGGGGCCACAAATGCTAATTCCCCTGTGATGTAGAAGAAAATGTCTTTCTGACCTGGTCGTTTTACCGGTTATTTCCTCTGTGCGGCGAGCCCAGGCGACGGGGATTGGAGAGAAGTTCCACACCTAGCGTTCATATTCAAGTATTACAAAATCAAATCAAAGGTACTTTATTAATCCCAGAGGGAAATTAGAGTTTCAGTACACACAATTCAGAGGTCAGACATACATGGGCAAGACACATGACAAGAATTGGTGACTGTGGTCATTAGCAACCCTGAGTCGCGCTACCTTAATAGAGATCAGAGGGTTACATGAGGATTGGTTCAGGTGGAGGGAAAAAAAGGCACTTCAGAGTTAGCCTCCACAGGGAGGGCAGCTTTGCTCTGCAAAAAAACACCTCAGGCAACAGACTTCAGACAACACAACATAAGTGTCCACTAGGAGGGGTGGTGGGTTGGGACTATCCCAGCTTTAGTTCCTGCAGCCACGACAGAAGCAGCACATGTCACCTCAGTGTGGATAGGGGGAGGAGCATTGAGGGTTGGAGGGTTGCAGTAACCCTGGATGCTTCAGCGGCCTTCCCGCAGTCCCGCCCAGGCTGGGAAAGGAGACAGAGTTGAGTTGCCATAGCGACGGCACATTCCACATTTCTTCTGAGGGGGGGGGGGGGTGTTTCGTTGGAGCCGTGCAGGCTCAAGGGCGCCAGATTCCGATTAGAACTTGTTTTGGGGCCAGACAGAGATAATTTCCTCTCCGTCTTACAGTTTGTTGGTCCTCAACCTCTCAAAGTCCCAATAATGGACATTAATCTATCCCAATCCAAGCTGATTCATCCACTCTATCCTTGATGGCATCCATCTTTTGTGCCAATGAATGAATCTCCGCCAAAGTCCCAAGCTTACGATTCATCTAGACAATTATTTAAGTCTGTGAATTCACAGCACGATGCAAACCATCTCTGAGCTCCGGGATCCGGCCAATATTCCTCGCCAGCTCGTTAATTTTCCGGTAAGCCAGGTAGCCTCCAAGGCCAATGAGCAGGAAACCTGACACCAACACCACGAATATCCACACGTCTTCAGAGTCCTCCACAGACAGCTGAGATAAACAAATCAAGTTCCACTGTTTCCGGTTGACTTTTAGCACATCTTAAACATTTGATCATGTTTAGGTTTTATTATTCTGTTCAGGAGTTTCACTTTAGAAAATGGCGCTTTTTTCTTTTGCTGGATTTCAACCAGATTTTTTTAAATCTCCAATGCTGACTCTGATAATGACGAGCTCAACTGGTCAGTGTTTAATGCCGGCTCCCGTTCTCTCCACATTAAGGTCATCACCAAAGCCAACAACACCCTGAACGGCATCAGCAGCTCCTCCGTCTGCACCGAGGTCATCCAGTCTGCTCAGGGCATGGAGTACCTGCTGGGTGAGGAACCGCACACCATAAGCACATGTCGGCTGTGGAACCAGGAGTATGGATACAAGTCGTCTTGTTTCTGACCGTCAGGTGTGGTGGAGGTGTATCGTGTCACCAGGCGAGTGGAACTGGGCATCAAGGCCACGGCCGTTTGCTCAGAGAAGCTGCAGCATCTGCTGAAGGACATCAGCCGCGTGTGGAACAACCTCATCGGCTTCATGTCGCTGGCAAAGCTCGTCGTAAGAAACACCTGAATTCAATGACCTGAGAGACGTGAAAACAGCCAGATTCAGTCACACCGGCGTTACTGCGAGTTCATGTAGACGTGCTTCATAAAGGTCTGGGAGGTGGAATCAGAAACTCGGCCGAAACACAATCAGTGATGCATCAGTTCTGATGTTCATGCTGCAGCAAGGGCTGCTTGGATTTATTTTCTCATCCGTCGTGTTTTTCTGTAAAACAGAATCGGTTCCCATCCCAGCAGCCAGCAGACGTATCCGAGCCTCTGGCATAAACCAGTAACACACCAGTAGGATCAGTTTGAATGGGAGGGACAAAAAGCTCCTTATAAAGTTGATCTGTGTTAGCTTCTGTGTTAGCTTCTGTTGCTTTTGCAACAGGAATGACTGCATTTTACCCTGCAGCAGGTAGTAAAACATGGTGTGTGTGCGTGCGTGCACGTGTGTGTGTGTGTTTATGTGTGTGTGTGTGTGCGTGTGCAGCCGGATGAAAGCTCCCTGGATTTCTCCTCCTGTATTCTGAGACCCGGCATCAAGAATCCCAAAGAGCTGGCTTGTGGAGTTTGTCTGCTCAACGTTGATGCTCGCAGCAAGGTTGGTTTACACGCACGCGCACGCACGCACGCACGCACACACACACACACACACGTTGTACTCATCAGCAGCTATTTGTTTTGACTGTGAAACATTTTGCAGAAGAACGAGGGAAGCGCTATCGGACGTCTGTTAAAACGAGTATGAGAGTATAAGTCCTTCCTCTCCTGGAGCTTCGAGGTTTTTCTATCTTTTTTTCTGGTTGCCGAAGTGACGGGATTTAATTCTGCACAGCTCCTCCTGTTGCAGCTGCAAAATCACTGCATGCAATAAGAATAACACATCAAATGAGGTTAAAACAACTCTTTATTACTGACCTGTTTGTTGAGCTTTTCCTTCCTCACAGGAAACATAATATTAATAATAATATTAATAATAATAATGACAACAGGCTCATTCGCCACCCCAAGTCATAGAAAATAAATATTTTAATAAAGATGGAGGATCTGGAGCCACATGAGGCCCTCAGCCCCTATTTGAACAAGCATACGAGTGTTTTTATGTTTATTTTTATTTAAACGAATGCGTTGAGTGAATGGTTACAAAATAGAAACAAGGTCTTGCTTTAATTTTTTAGCTATTTATCTAAATGAACGTATTTAAAGGGTCATTATGGAAGTGTGACAGCCAAAACATGTATAGAAATAATAAATGTCTTCTTCATACATTCTCCTGCAATGCCCTGGTCCTGTAGAATGAGCCCTGGCATTTTTACTGTGATTGCCTGTTTTTCTGTAAAATCACAGAAAAAGAGAGATGCTCGGGTCGAGCAGGCTGCTTCATGCGTGTTCACGCTCAGGCATCGCCCGTAGCATTTGCTATCCGTAGCTTTAGCAGCAGAGAGAGAGGCAGTGCCACTTTGTCGCTGTTCCTAACGCCTAGTGACAAAGCTAGCTACATTTCTGAGGACCCTTAGCTACTTTCTGTAGAACTTTCTTCTAGATATTTCCTGCTAATTAGCAACAAAATAGCCATTTTCACTCCGAACCGTTCTTTGAACGTTGTTTCAGCTGTCATCAAGGATATAAATGTTACAGATACCAAGGACGTCACTGGAGACAGCTCACCTAGTAAGACATTGGACTCTCGTGTAGAAGACCTGGGTTCGATTCTGGATGTGAATATAATTTAGTTGGAGTAAATTTTTTACATTAATGGTATATTTTTTTTACAGTAAGATGCCCAAATTTTTATTTGAGACTCGCCGAACGGCATTGAATTCACAGATAAAAAAGATGTGGGTTCAACTTTCATTTTGGAACAATTTTTCAAGCAAGGGAAGGGAATGATCTGAGCATGCAGGAGGACTGACCCATCATAAACCTTTGTCGGCTGTGCTGAAGAGAAAGGTACAGAACCACATTATTTAATTAGCTGTGTGTTCTCCTGTCCTCTGTCCTCCGGGCCACACACACACACACACACACACACACACGCACACACACACACACGCGCAGGACTGTCTCAGCTGTTATTTTTGTTAAGGAGTGTGCACGTACAGTATGTGCACCTCGTGCACGAGCCTACTATTGAAGCTGCCATTATGCTTTTGGCCTGAGGGGGCAATCGCGAGCATAAAAATTCAAAACTCCGTAAAGTCCCTTTAATCAGCGTGGAGCTGAGCTGCTGTGAAGATGGGAAGGTTTTAGTTCATCTGCAGCAAATGTAGAGTTCCTAGAACAACAGCTGTAACTCAGCAAGAGAGCGGCAACCTGACACCTCCGTGTTTAGTTTACAGAGACGTAAACTTAGGGTTAGGGTTGGTGACTCCATATTATTGTTTCAGGCCCGTGATAAAAGCTGATCTGCTCTCACGGTGATTGGAAAACGGGAGACAAAAAAACCATGAATTGCACTGAAAATCTCTCAGACTGTGTAGAACGGACCGGTGCTCAGAGAGCGATGAATATGTGAACTTTTATCCCAGATTCATGCTGGAAAACTTCAGCTGGAACGGAGAGGAGGAAGCAGCTTTTCCTGTTTCTACTGTACCTGCAGCAGAAAACATGGGAGGCTCCGAGTTACAGGAGGAAAAAACTCAGTTTTATTAGCTATCTGTAATGGAAGCTATGGTTTAGTTTATAGCTGCAGAAAGACTGACAGCATTTCCAGTTCAGGCGTTTCTAATTTGTGCCCCAAGCTGTGAGGAAGGAAGGTCAAAGGTCATCAGGCTGCTCAGGTGGTTGTCCTCCAGATTTTTGGAGCTGATGGAAGTGAGACAAGAGATCTATCACTTTGGCACCTCTGGGCTGGCTTAGGATGGGTTCCTCAGGAAAACCGGGGTTGTTCCTCTTTACTGCTACCTGCTCTTCCTGCTAACGGCTGTGTGTGTTTCTAACAAGGGTAGTATGGTCAGGGCAGTGTGTGTTCTCCTCTGCTGGCGTGGGTCATTAACGTGTTCTCAGGCCCCACCGCAGGTTCTAAAGGACGGCGCGGCGGCGCCTCCTCACCCCTCTGCTGCTCAGATGGTCCAGGGTGTGCCTTACGCGCACACACACACACACACACACACACACACACACACACACACACACACTAGGATGGGATTAATAATGCCTCTTTTATTTATGTTTTGAGCAGAGTGAATGCAAGAATCCTTTCAGTGTTTAATGAAGTAAAAGAAGCTCTCTGATTGGTCCATTGTCCTTCCGTGAAGACGCGCTGATTTGTTGAGACAGAGAAGACGATCAAAAACCAACGATGTGATGTTTTTAGTCTCTTGTTGTTCCTGTCGGGTTTTCTGCGTTCATGTAAGAAGTCGTCGTCTTCGGGTGAGACCGGAGGGACGAGACATCCATTAGCTCCGTCAGCTGATGGCGGTGAATGTTCCTCAGATCCAACACGTTTAGTTATTTAAGCAAAACATGAGGAAGGAGCTCCTCAGTTACTTTTCTAGTTTATTATTTATATATTTGTGGCAGCTTCACATTTTAAAATGTCATTTTTATCTTGTTAAGTTTTATGTGTGGACTCCCATCAGAATTTAGGTTATCCACAGATGAAGGTACCAAGAAGCAAAAAGAAGGAACAAAGAATCTCGAAATGTTACATTTTTGTCTTTTTACTGAGTTTTAATGTTTTTTCTGTTCATTTAGCTTCATTTGCTTAAAGAGCAAGTCACCCCCTACCAGAGTATTACTCCACTCCCACTTCCTGTTTGAAAAATGCAACAAATGCTGTTTCCTAGCAGACCGAGAGGGCGGAGCCGCTAACAAATACACACACACACACACACACACAGGCTCACAACGACATTGTGACATCATATGGTACCAGCTAACGTTCTAGGGTACCTCTTAGCCAATAGCGATGGCAGATTTAAATTCAAATGCAGTGCAGAGTTTTTACCTGACAACGGCACGACACTGACACTTCTAGGCAGAAAATTTAAATTTGAACTAAAACGCACTAAAGTGCAACACTATTGACTACTCGTGTCTGCGGCACGATTAGACACACATTTATATAGTTTATCAGATAAAAACTTGATTTGGGGGTGACTTGCTCTTTAATAATACTCTTAGTCTCCCTTTAAACTCACGTAAATCAAGATTAACTGGATTGTCTAACGTGGATTAAAGGTAGAGAAGGAGAAGGTTTTGTTGCCACTTTGTGGAAATGTGCAACTCAGAGGTCCCGCCCCCTTTCTTCCTAAACCACGCCCCCAGGAAAGACCAACGCCCAGTGCTCGTTCCCGAGCGTTCAGTTTAACGTTTTTGACCCGCTGTCAGAGCAGCTTGGTGGCAGGGTTATGATCCTGTCATTAAGAACAATGATTGGGTGAGGTTTTTCAGGATGGTGCATTTCAGAGGAGGTTATAAACATTCCTTTTGGTTTTTGTTCAAAACATTTCATTCATTGTGTGTGCGTGCGTGCGTGCATGCGTGTGTGTGTGTGTGTGTGTAACTGGAATTCTAAGATGAGAAATGTGATGAATCGGCTGTCCTGGCTGCTGCATGGAAACATCGACTCTGCTGACTGCTTTTGGGTTCACAGCCTCAGAGTAAAGAGGTTAGCCGTCCTTCAGCCGTCCAGTCAAAGCTGGTTTTATTAGGCCTCATGCAGGTGAAGCTGGAGGAGGAGGAGCGGTGGATTTATAGCCACCCCCCTTTTCCCTGCACATCCTCCTGCGTGCAGCTTTGCAGGAACAAGTAGGCGGGGCCACAAAAGGAAATGTGAGTGAAATGTGAGCGTGCGAGGAAAGACTGAAACGTGGAAAACCTGTCGTTAGGAAGTCTGCGGAGTGCCTGAGCGTTCAGGCAGGTGGAGATGTATCCGACTTAATGGCTTCTCCTGCGGAAGGGCACGATTCACAGCTCATGGCTCATCTCTCGCTCCAGGTTCATCTCCGTTCATTTCACCAGGGACGCCACACTAAACTGCACACCTCACACATTAGACTCAGCTGATTGCACGCAGAGATGTTGCAGCTGCGCCCAGGGGAGAGGAGCCGCCGGGCATCAGGGTCACACCGCCACCTTTCATCTCCAGTTTACAGAAGCAGTTAGAGCGTATCCCAGCATGCCTCGGTGTCCTTTAAACCCACCAGACTTAAGATCAAGTTACTGAGTCACGCTTCTTCTCTTTCCTTATTTAACCGTTGATGATGGATCATCACAAGTCTGGTTAGAGCGAGACTTTTCACCTGACCCAGTCACGTCTGTGTTCTTCCTCTCAAAATGGTTTTCTCTGTTTTTGTGAAGCTTCCCGGTTTCTCCGGATTTGTGAAACGGGAAGGTGTAAAGGCTTGTTTCGTTTGCCCTCACGAGTTGGAACTCCTGACTGGGAACGCTGATCCCGTATTTAACTCCAAACATCGTAGAGCAGAAACCTGCCGATCAGGTTCCTCTAACTCTGGAGGTCCAACTTTGAGCTCAGATGAAACAACAAGAATTGTCGCTGGATGCTGTTTGATGTAGCTCCGGTTTGGGTGCAATGACACGAGGATGCTATCCTACATCAAGGCTCGTTCTCCTCGCTCTAGCGTAAACTCCAGTTGGGATAAAACCGGTCTGAGCAGCTTTCGGATGCACCTGCTGACAAACACCTTGATGTAGGAGGGCTCCTGTGGCGTCTTAACAATGAAACTAAAATCCGTAGAGGTGGTAGATGTGCGGCGTAAACGCCTCCCGTCCCCTCCCCTCCCCTTGTGTACAGCTCAGCCTGCTAACGTCTCACCTCCCCCCTCCCAACAGGCTTTTAACTCGGAGACGGACAACTCCAAGCTGCCGTACGGCGGTCATCAGTACCACGCCAGCTGCGCCAATTTCTGGATTAACTGTGTAGAGCCTAAACCTCCAGGCCTCATCCTGCCTGACCTGCTCTGAGCTGCCATGGCAACAGCGGAGGAGTGGCCGATCGCATCACACTGAGGAAGCTGGAAGGGCGTTTCAAGTCACTGGGTCCTCTTATATTCCTTTTAAATCTCTCTTTCTCAGATTTTATCATTTACAGATGTTTATTTTTTGGTTTTATTTTAACGATGCGTGTCTCTTTCACATCGAGGTCCCCTGGGAAGGTCGTGCTGCTGTTTTAACCGATCATCGCTGAGCGTAATGTTGCAAAAGATAATTACTAAGAGTTCTGATCTAAATTATTAGATGTGCAATATCATCAAAACACTGGCTAAATATGTCTGTGGAGTTTTTAACGTCCCTCTTATTTAAGTCCCGCCTCCCTTTGATCCCTGCGGAGTCGTAAGTTTTACTTGAACTGTTTGTGTGGCGGGCAGCTCCGTTTGCTGAGATGATTTTAAAAATACTCAAACTCGCTGCTGTATCGGAAGGCAAGTCTCTCTCTCTCTCTGTGCGTTGCATTGAATTTTCTGCTTGAATGTCTTTTGCACTGTTCAACAACAACTTCAACACTTTGGGGGTATTTAATAGTATTGTATAGATATTTAGGGACAAGGGAATAAATTAATGGATCTTGATGTAAATGTTTATTTTCTGTGTTGATGTTTGGAAAAGTCTAGAAACCATCTGTGTGTGCTTTAATTAAAGCTGATTTTTTTGCCTCTATTGTGTCACGCTGTATTATTGTAAATATCAGTTATATTATGAATATGATAGAATAAACAGCCATGCTTACAGGTTTGCGTCTGTTTTAGAGCACCGTCTTTACTCGGCCCGAAGCAGATTTACTGAAAAAAAAAAACGAGTGAATGAGACGTTTAAAAACCAAGCTCACTGAGAAACTTTTTATTTATTTTTAAAATTTGCTCTGAGTTTCACGTGTAGGTGGAACGCGACAATGGTCATCCCTGCATTAGCCGATAGAAAACAAAAACCACGCAGATCCCGTCTTAGCTCACGACAGGAAACGCTGTTGCTGGTCCAGGAAACAGCAGAGCACGTCTCAGCTAGCTGTTAGCATTAGCAACTCCACAACACAGCAGAGCTCCTCCAGGCTTGTTACTAACGTCTGTTAAACCATCTAAATTATCTGTATCTGTTCTGGAGTGGGTGTGGCCTAACCCGGAAGTGGGTGTAGTTTACATCAATACGTTATTTTAAGTCTGATCAGAAGTTGCTATGTGTATTGTTTATTTGAAAACTATTTACAGAGCAGCCTCAGAGTTGAGATTACATGTTTTTGATCACAATAGTAAAGGAACTATTACAGAACAAGTTTTTCAGTAAAATCAGAACATTAATATTTAAGTGCATGAATTAAGAGAGAGAGAAGAAAAGATCTTTTCTATAGCGCCTCTCAAGATAAAAATCATGGGGCGCTTCACAACAACAAAACATGTAAAATAGAAAAAATAATTTAGAAAATGATTAAAATATATTTAAAATGAGCAAAAAATAGGCAATTGTGATTAAAAAATGTAAAGAAAGAGAGAGAGTGAATAGGAAAGAGGGAGTGGATCCTGAGGAAGAGGAGAGGGAAAAAAACGACCAGAGCGGAGGCAGTGACTGATGCAGCACGAGCTGTTTTCAGCTCTGTCTTGTCAAATGCACCACGCATGTTATGAAAAAAGTAACTTTAAATATCTTTAAAGTAACTTCAAAAAGAAGCAAACTGAAGAAAACATAGGGAGTACTTAAGAAACGTGAACAGTGAAGCAAGCACAGAGAGATCCGTTACTGTCTGTGTGTGTGCGTGGATCTATGGCGTGGATGTACCGGACCGGACTGAGCTGTGAGCTCCCGGCCCGGCTGCAGAGTTTTGTGTGTAGGGAGGGTTGGGCGCTCTATTTGACTGGCCAATCACAGAGCGTGAAGACAGTCAGTTACCCAATGAGGATTTTCCTTCAGCACGATTACAGATATTTACCAGTTTTACTCGTTTCATGCTCATACTCGTCAAAAATGCTTTATCCGTACTGTATCCGGCTCATCCCTACAGGTTACTTGTGCTGTTAGCCAATCAGAGGTGAGATATCTAATTATCTGGAAATAAGATTCCAAATGTTGCCGTGTTCTGTTCCGCACAGAGCCTTATGCTCAGTAGAAATGGACTCTCAAGGCACTAATTTATACTAGAGCCCACTGCAAACGTACTGAGAGAACTTATTCTTTAGCATCTATGTTACTTCCATCTTAGATTTTGTTGTGTTTGGGCTTTCATATTTTCATTGAACCTTCTGGGCCACCATAGAATTATCAGCAACAACAAAGTGTTCTATGGGTGTGTCAAATGCAGGCGTCCATCATTGTATTTACATTTTAATTAGTTTCAGTGAGTTACTAAATAGTCAAAAAATACTAACCTTTACTGTAAATTTACAGTTATTTTAGTAATCTAGACAGTAGCCATAGCAAAGGGTTAGGCTCTGCATCGTGGTCTAGCACCATTGCAATCTGAGCAGGCCAGAACAATCTGCCAATCACAGCGCTCTTATCAGTTTGGTGGGCGGGGTGTTACGGCTCCTTTGAAACGGCTTTGGCGTTAACTTTGTGTAGACTTGAGCTTTTCTTTGAGTCACAAACAGATCGTTATACTTGAGTCCTTTATTTAAAAAATGAATGTATACGTCTTTTTCACCAGTGTATGGCAGTCAGACTGTCCTGCTCACCGATGTTCGTAATGGTTGTTTGTTGTCCAATAGCATGTGGAGACTTTTAAAAGCAGTGGCGGCTCGTCCAATAAGGGGCGCCACCCCACCAGCCTCACAGGTAAAGGAAGAAGAATAATCTGCGCCAGTGTTTGAAAGACAACCATAGAGCCCCCACCCAATACTGCCGCCACACGTGTCTTATGAACGCGCCATGGCATTGTGGGAATTTTGCGATGTTTGTGCCGCCATGCTTGGTAGTAATATTACTGCAACACTGGACTTGGAAACGCCGAGCTCCAGCTGGCAGCTGTAGTTTTCTTTTTGCCAGCAGAGCCAGCTGAGATGATGAACTGGAGCAATGTGGAGCTCCAGGAGCTTTGCTCCGTTAGAGCTGGAGGGCAGATCACCAGAGACTGCGCGAGGACTGTGGAGGACAGACACCTTTAGGAGCGGCTTGTGAAAAAAAACGTAACGAGTCAGGCTTCGTTCGCGACAAAAAGCTAGTTATTTCCAAGATGAACGGAAGTTTGCGGCAGTGCAGACCGTCCCATATCCCCGTTATCCCCTTTGTCCAGCCATCGCCTAACCTGAGGCCTGTGGGTCCTGGACAGACTCTTTATTATAAAACAACATTGGTTCAACATTAATTTTAGCACATTCCATCCCCCCCCCCCCCCCCCCCCGAGGCGTATTTTGCAATTGTCCTTTTTGCTCTATTTATTCACGACATTTTGAACAAGCAGGAAAATGTGCTCCAGCATTAAAATGAAGAGATCATTTAAGCTTTCAGATGTTTTCCTGCCCAGTTTCCTCTCATCCTATCTGCTAGACGCTGCTGCAACATTCTCCTTTTCAATAATGGACTTTCTCTGAGGCCAGGGAGACCTCATCATTTCCATCACTTCCACACAAAAATGGAATAAATTCATTTCCAATTCGCCTGCCGGGTCTCGCCGGGCGGTTGAGCCCAGCCAATCACACGAGATGTCTCGGGGCTTCATGAAACCCATCTCGTTATCAGTTCCACTCTCTTCAGGTGTGCTCTCAAACATCCATTTTATCCCTCGCTGTTTCCTAATTTATTTCCTGCAGAAAACGAATTCCTCTTCAGCGAGCACCGTGAGAGGATTACAGAAAATTACAAAAACAGAAATCAATTACCGACCAAGGCTGTGTAATTGAAACTGTGGCGCGTTTCTCTCTTCTGGGCTTGATGTCTTCACGCCTGTTGTCCGTAACGATAAGGAAGAAGTGATGGAGCGGATACCCGGCCGGTAACTCTAAACATTGAACAGGTTTTGCTTTTTAAAAGATTCACAAATGTTAAATAACAGTTAGTTTTGGAGCATCTTGGTTAGAGTTGGTGAGAGAAGGTTAATAATCTTATCTCTTTAACATTTGGGGACAGTTTCACCAGTGGCGTGTCCAGATCTTTTAAAATGGGGTGGCCCAGGTGAGGCACAACTTTGTTCATGAGTGGCACCAATGGTTATGCTTTTATTGTTTTACCCCCCAAGTCTTTTGTGGACAAGAAAAAACCTACTTAAAGGTAAATCAGTGTGGTGGCACCTGGGGTGGCCAATCAGATTCCAAGGGTGGCATGTGCTACTAGCGATGGGTACCGAATTCTGTACTTTTTAAGGTACCGGCCGAATTCCATAGTACCGACTGAGCACCGATTCACGTCATTTGAAACGGTGCCTCGTTTCGGTACCCGTCCTTCATAATGAGAACTTGCCTAGACAGCTGCGCATGCGCAAGAGCGTTATGACCTAAGTGAGACATCCTCATCTTAATCTGCTCCGGTAGGTAAATAAAATGTTTAAGCTAACGTTAGCTTGATATGTTAGCTTCCGTTCCGCTAACAGTGCGTTCGCTTTCTCCTCGAAACTCCGAATTTCCGACTAGAAGAACATGAACGCGCTCTAAAGTTTGGCTTCACTTTACTAAATGCGACGGGTGATTGGGTGAAGATGAAACCAGCGACAACGATCTAAGTGTGAGGCATCATCGTTTTAATCTGCTCCAGCAGCTAAATAAACTGTTTAAGATAACGTTAGCTTGATAAATTAGCTTCCATTGCCGCCATTGTTATCAGCTAATGGTGCGTTCGCTTTCTCCTCGGAAATTCTAACTTCCCAGTAGGATAAATCAAATTAAAAAGGACGGCAAAAGGAATGAAGATACACAGTAAATTTAGTTCACAGTAAAGATGTTTGCTTCAGTTTAATTATCAGCTTATAAAACTACAAGGACAATGTTAAAATACAAACAGTTGTATGTTATTTATCGTGATATTTATCAAATATGGTTATATACTGAGAAATATATATATTTAATTATAAAAGAGAATTAAAATATTAAACACTCAAAAGTATCTAAAATTGGTACCGTTAAGTACCGGTATCGATTCCTAGGTACCGGGAATTTGTACCGAATCGATTCAAATGTCAAAGGTACCCATCCCTATGTGCTACCCCAGGCCACTCCCTGGACACACCCCTGAGTTTCTCGCCCCTGGTTTCTCAGCATGGATGTAATTTTCACTTTAGAAGTGGGGGGACACGGGGGGGGGGGGGGGGGGATCTTTACAGTATGGTCCAATGGGAAACAGGCTTCAACACAAGCGGTTGTTTTCTGCTTGGTTCTAGAGCTCAACCAGTGTCAATTTAACATAAAGTAATATTGTTTTTGGAAGGTAAAAGGTGCAGGGGTCAAAACTTGACTTTGGAAAAAGTGTGTGTGGGGGGGGGGGGGCATGTCCCCCCTGTCCCCCCCAAAATTACGTCCATGTTTCTCAGTCCTGAGCCACTCTGCTCATCCCTTCAGACAACCCAGGCTCTAAGAGCGACAGGCCGATGAGTCACTGTTCCACCGCAGAGATAACACACACCTCCAGCCGCTCCTCTAAGACATGCTGACTTGTTTCATGACAAACCAAACTCCTGTCTCTCTTTTACAATGAGCCTCAACAGGGCTGCATTTTCCCATCTAATGCACTCAGTTATGGATC